GAATGCCTGTGGAAATGAAGGATGTGTGAATGGATCAGGTGGTGAAAGGTTTACCTGCAATATCTGGTTTCGGCCAAGTATTCAATAATCCATAAAGATCCTGAATATTTTATAAATGCCAATATTCTAGAAAAAGATTTCATTCAAACTCTTCCAACATTCCCCATACAGAGATTCAATTTACAAAAACTAAATTTTGCCAGTGTACGAAAAAAGAAAACACAACAATTTTTTAGAGTGTAACTATACTTTTACTTAAACATTGATTATTTAATTGATTAAAAATGGGAGCCGAAAAAAACGTCAAAAAGTTACATGATTGTTATTATTATTATCTAACCTTCAACGTATCCGGATCCCAGCTCTGGACTGAGAGAAGAACTTTAGGAAGAGCCCCTGGGGTATTCCTAGAAAAAGGAGTTAAATAGATTGTCGTGTAACTGGAAGGATCCTCCTTACCCTCCTTTAAAAAAGCAGGGCATGCCCAATTCACAAAGGTTCTCTTTGAAACTTAATCTCATAAAAATATGGAGGATTTTGTTTGCTGAAAAAGTGTTTAATTCTTCTGACTTCTTCCATTGCTTCTGCAACAAAAATGCAAAAGTCACTTTTATAGAGACCGCAAAGAGATATAATCAAATTGTTAATGTGATAAAGATGATTAGCAGTTTTAAAGCTAATTGAATTATCATGTTTTTAATGTCTGAAACAAACTCATCAAGTTTATTGCCAAGTCTATAAGTCAGTACTAGAATATTATTCCTTGAAAATTACGAGGTTATACGAGACCAGGCTGTCAGGGCGCTTTGCGCCAATCTTCTGAATAAAATTTAAATTTACACTTCATCTTTCAGCATTTTCTCATCAATAAACAAATGAAAAGAAATTTACGAAATTTAAAAAATTAAGACAAATTTTAAAACTGTGACTATTAATAAACCTTACCTAGGGTCATTTGAGGCCCCCCAAAAAAAGATGGGCCTGATCGGTTTAGCCATTTTGACGTTTATTGGATACGAACAAACAAACAGACAAACAAAGTATATATATAGATCAGATTAGAATCTTGGGCAACCCAGACTGCATTCAGGAGTATCCGACCCGTATAGATAAGACAAGTACAGAATTAGACAATTATAAATATATTTAATGGTATTTACGTCAAAGAAAAAGTGAGGGAATCAAGTTGGAAGAAAGAAAATTGTGTAAAGGGACTAAAGACGTAATTTTAAGTGACCATCCTTTTATATAGAGTGAAAAATGTAAAAATAAGTAAGGAGTGGGAAAAGATGACGAATCAAAGCAAAAAAATGCCAAAAGATCTACAAAAAATGCCGATCTTAAATCTACAAAATGCATCTGAAAGAGAAAATAAAGTCTGAACCTAAATTTGAAAAAAAGACGTATTGTAATTTACAAATACCTGAGATAGAATCTCTTCTCCCAAAGGATTTCTCTCTCCAGGGTTGACCGCTTGTAAAATGTTAGAATATCTTGTTCACATAAACTCACTAGCTGTTCTCTAAATGAATGAATAAAATTATAAATATATGAACCAATGAATTAAATGACCGATGGATGAATGAATTAAAAGAATGATTGAAAGGAGAATGAAAGGACCAATTTTTTTGAGCAACTCACAAGACCCCAGAAAACTTCAATGATTGGTTAATGATAAAAAATGTGCCCGGAAAAATTAAATTTTAAAATTTTAACGGAAAAATCCGCGAGCTCCGATTTACAAGAAAAATGGCAGTCTGAAGAGACACGGTTTATAGAAATCATTACAAAAACTATTAAATATATATTCTACCTGGTATTGAAGTCTAGGCAGTCTAGTGTAGTATCCTGTGACTGTGGAAGTCTAGGATCTAGGTCAGGATATACAACCGGGCCTCCGAGATCTAGTAGTTCTAAGCTCAGGAGAGGACAACTATCAGCCTAGACAAGTATTATTTAGAACAGGCCTCCTAGATTCAGTAGTTCTAGGCTCAGAGGACAGCTATCAGCCTAGTTAAGTATATATAGAACAGACCTCCTAGATTCAGTAGTTCTAGGGTTAGTAGAGGATAGCTATCAGCCTAGATAAGTATATATAGAACAGACCTCCTAGATCCAGTAGTTCTAGGGTTAGTAGAGGGCAGCTATCAGCCTAATTAAGCATATATTGAACAGGCCTCCTAGATCCAGTAGTTATAGGCTCAGTAGATGACAGCTATCAGCCAGCCTAGTTAAGTATATTTAGAATAGGCCTCCTAGATCCAGTAGTTTTAAGCTCAGTAGAGGACAGCTATCTGCCTAGATAGGTATATATAGAACAGGCCTCCTAGATCCAGTAGTTATAGACTCAGTAGAGGAAAGCTATCAGCCTTGTTGAGTATATTTAGAATAGGCCTCCTAGATCTAGTAGTTCTAGGCTCAGTAGAGGACTGCTATCAGCCTAGATAAGTATATATAGAACAGGCCTCCTAGATCTGGTAAAGATTCAGTAGAGGACAGCAATCTACCTAGATAAGTATATACAGAACAGGCCTCCTAGATCTGGTAGTAAAAGACTCAGTAGAGGACAGCGTCAGCCTAGAAAAAACTACTCATATGAATACTTTTGGATGAATAAAATGAATACCTGTGGATTAATAAATGAATACTTGTGGATGAATAAAATGAATACCTGTGGATTAATAAATGAATACCTGTGGATTAATAAATGAATACCTGTGGACGAATAAAATGAATACCTGTGGATGAATAAATGAATACCTGTGGATGAATAAATGAATACCTGTGGATGAATAAATGAATACCTGTGGATGAATATATGAATACCTGTGGATTAATAGATGAATACCTGTGGATTAATAAATGAATACCTGTGGATGAATAAAATGAATATCTGTGGATTAATAAATGAATACCTGTGGATGAATAAATGAATACCTGTGGATGAATAAATGAATACCTGTAGATTAATAAATGAATACCTGTGGATTAATAAATGAATACCTGTGGATAAATAAATGAATACCTGTGGATTAATAAATGAATACCTGTGGATTAATAAATGAATACCTGTGGATTAATAAATGAATACCTGTGGATGACTAGATGAATCAGGAGCGGGTCCTATCTGCTGGGTAACCTCCATTGGCCAAAGAGCCAATAAATAGGAACCCTTAAAACAAAACTTATTTAAAATTAAGATTTTACAACTTTTTATATATTCCATAACAATACATAGCATTTTGATAAAAATACAGCAACAAAACCTCGGTGGAAACTTCTTTTATCTTACTTGACAGTTTTGACATTATGCTGAACAAAATGTTGATACAACAAAAGTCAATATTTTAGCAAAGGAAGGGACATAATTAAAAGTGTTCAAAGTACAAGCATTCTTTGTCAGAATATGTTAAAAAATCGACAAAAATTACAAAAAGGACTATTTCTGGGCGATGGATATTTCGATATTTATCCATAGAATGCATCTCTATCCATTCTTCTTGAATTTAACTCTATTATATATCTAATCTCTATGGTTACCAGTACCTGAGATAAATGTTTATCATTAGAATACATATGTATCCATCCTTATATTCAAATCTAATCTCTATGATTATCCATAGAGTACACCTGTATCCTTCCATCCTTCTTGAAATCAGCTTTATTAAATATCTAGTCTCTATGGTTACCTGGGATATATGTTTATCAATAGAGTACATATGTATCCTTCCATCCTTCTTGAATTCAGCTTTATTAAATAGCTAATCTCTATGATTACCTGGGATAGATGTTTATCAATAGAATACATCTGTATAGCAGTCCATCCAATCTCCATTTCTATATCAGCTTCCTTGTTCTCAGGATCCTTTCTTCTCCCTACTAAGTTCATTACCAACCTTGCCTACGTTAAATCACAAATAATAAAGTCCACGAAATTTGCAAAAACTGTATTTTAGTCCATAAAATAAAATCAGAAAAAAAGTCGTTAACCTCTTATAAAATTTCTAGATAAACCCCTGTAATAGTACATATGTTTATCTACAAAGAACATAACTTTTTTTTACTAGATGCTAATTAGTAAATATTACCTCTAATGGTATGATAGAGACTGGTAAGGATTTGACATCTATCCAAGTATTGAAGGTTACCGTGCTGTGCAACTGTTGGTGACTATGCTCCGGTTTCTGAGAAAATAATCAGCTGATCCCAGAAAAATATAAGTGGAAGCAAGTGACCATGTAAAATCTTCAAATTGTAAATCTGACAAAATCAGCTGAGCTTAAAAAAAATGGAAGCGACCATGTTAAATCCGCAATTTGTTGTCAAATCAGCTGACTGTAAATCCATTAGATATATGTGCACCAGTACTGCCAAGTACCTGAAATGTTGAAGAATGTGCTTCTCTGATAAGCATGGTTCCATGGTAAACTCTGAGATCAAGTCGATAGTCTAGAAACTCCCAACTTGGATTAAGACGATGAACGCATCCAATCCGAGCTAAACAAACCATCAGAAAATAAAAAAAAAATCGTGAGAAAAATCCTAGTGCTTCTTGACCGATTTCTCAAATTTTTACTGGGGAACTCGGTAGAACCACGAAAATGTTCTAAGCTTGGTTAACAAATTCTAAGCTGAGTGGGTTGACATTTCAAAGGGAACATTTAGTTTCTAGGTAAAGCTGTGTTCCCAAGCTAGTATACGATAAATAAAAAGAATGGTTGGTTTCCTAGAAGGGTTTCTTTAACACTTGAGCTGTCCTTGAGTTCTCCTGGAAACAAGGTGTCAATCTCCTCTAGACTGAAGTCAACCCTGAAAAAGAAGATTAAAATTGTATTTTTTGTTGTAAAATCACTACTCAACCTACACTCATTGTGAATATCTTTGTTGGTACTTCTCGACCGGTTTTTATGCTCAGTTGGGGAAAATAAATGAATTCAAGGACAACAAATGATTCTATGAGGGAAAAAGGATCAAAAAGAGAAAAATAATTTGAAGTCGGACTTTTTATTTACCAAATTAAAAAAAGGCAAAAAAACGACACTTATGTGTAAAAGATGTTTTTAAAAACAAAAAGTTTTACAAGTAACTTGAAAATACGTATACAGTGAAATGGGTCTGTGATTCATGTATATTGAACTGTCAACCTCATATACTAAGCCTTAACAGCCGTCTTTCTATTCCGCAGTTGTAAGGGTCCCACTGTACCCACCTGAATGTTCTTGAGTATGTTCTGATAAGACTGTAAACCTTCTCCGTGATTGCCTTGAGACAGTGCTTGATGTCCTCTGCGTTCTGCATAAACCCTTCCGAGGCAACCTTCTTGAAGGTCACCATGGCGTACCTTTCACCGACAACCTGGACACCGTTTATGAGAAGAATAACCTTTTCCAAGAACATCATTTTTCAAACTATGTTGTGGGTAATCTAATTTTTCAAACTATGTTGTGGGTAATCTAATTTTTCAAACTATGTTGTGGGTAATCTAATTTTTCAAACTATGTTGTGGGTAATCTAATTTTTTAAACTATGTTGTGGGTAATCTAATTTTTCAAACTATGTTGTGGGTAATCTAATTTTTTAAATATCATTCCCACTTCTCAAATATGATAAAGGTAACTTTGAGTTATTTTAGCTGTACATTTTCTTGGGGAATAAAGCATTAGTGTTATTGTGAACAAAACACAGATAAATCTTGAAAAAACGACATCTAGAGTCCTATCTATTATTTTAATTAATCTATGGAAATTATGCAGTTTAAGCAAGGTCAACCCGTTCACAAGAAATCTTAGTTCAAATTGCTAAAACTATCTCAGAACCAGTTTAGGTATTTCTGTCACACACGTTCCAAAATTCAGTTTTTCTGATGGGTTTCAAGGCAACGTAATAAATAGCTCAAACAATTCATCAAGCAAGCAATATTATTTAATAAAATAATTCAAGATAAAACTTACCTCCACTATTTCTGGTCTCAGCTTGCCTGCAGGATCTTCATTTCCCTTCATACAGTCATATTTAACACAAGCCTAGACAAAATAACATTTTATATCCCAGATACCATTGAATCCCAGACATCACTTTATGACCCAGACACCACTTTATATCCTGGAAACCATTTTATATGATAAACACCATTTTTTATCCCAGAACCTGTGTAAGTTTATCCTGGACACCATCTTATATCCCTGACACCAATTTGTATCCTGAACACCATTTTATATCCTGGACACCGATTTATATCCCGGACACGATTTCTTATCTCGTACACAATCAGTGAATAAAATGGAACAGAAATATTTATTTTCTTAAATAACAGCCCCCCCCTTCCCCCATCTTATACTTCATGTCCTTTAAACCAAAACCAAAACAAATTTACTACAAGGTGAACTTATCGAAACATGTTTAACTTTTATATGGTTAACGGCGCAATTACAATAAAGTAAATATTTTCATGTTTCAACAGAGCTAGGATTATTTAGGGTGAATTGAGCTAACTTCCTTATAAATTATCGTTCCTCTTCAGTCACTTCGTTTTCAATTATTTAAGTTGCCGTTGTGGATGACAAGTTCAGGGATTATAGCTTAACTGTAAAATTTATAAGTTCCGACTAGGTTAGACACAAGGCTGCCGTAAAACCTTCTGAATGGAAGACTGATATGCTGATATACTGATATACTGATATACTGGGTTTCCCACAAAGAATAAGACTGCAAAGACGACCTGAAACTCTTTAACATAACAGTCCAAGGTTAAATTGAGCCTTTTTATCCGAATATTGTCTTTTATTTATTCCTTTAATACTTTGGCAAAGAAAGAATCAAGTTCACAGTTGCAGTTAAAATTACGTACAATCCTCTCTGAAGTCTCATCCTCTAAAGGTAACCCTTTACCAAAAATACTGATTAATTAATTGATTGATAGTACCTGTTTAAACTTCTCAAGTGCTTCAGATAAATCTATAGTTTCCACAGAACCCAGCTTGGCACAAACCGCCTAAAAAACAAAGTCTTTGTTACAACATCAAAAAACTTAAAATATGTTTAATGCCGTCGTCTTATTCCACAATTTTCTAATTACATCCAATATTTGCATTAATTGGAACTTAAACGCACGGGAGCTCAAGCTTAAAATCTTTAAATTAAAGATTTAAATCGCAATTATTTTGATTATTATTATCATCTGGTCAAACAAACATTTGAATTTTTTTTATTAAAAAAAGATTTTATCTTCTAATTCATAAAATGACTAGACTGACCTTCACAGCTTGCAGCATACCCCTGGGATTCAGGGATTGTATAACATTCTTTTCAGTACAGTTAACCAGAGTTCTAAAGTACAAATGTAATTAAAGGAATTGTAAAATATTATTCTTAGAACAGCTAACCAGAGTTCTTAAATGCAAAAGTAATTAAAGGGATTTTATAATATTCTTCTCATTACAGTTAACCAGAGTTCTAAAGTACAAATGTAATTAAAGGAATTGTATAACATTCTTCTCAGTACAGTTAACCAGAGTTCTTAAATACAAAAGTAATTAATGGGATTGAATAACATTCTTCTCAGCACAGTTAACCAGAGTTCTTAAATACAAATGTAGTTAAAGAAATTGTATAACATTCTTCTCAGTACAGTTAACCAGAGTTCTTAAATACAAATGTAATAAGTGAAATTGTATAATATTATTCTAAGTACAGTTAACCAGAGTCCTTTGATACAAATGTAATTAAAGGAATTGTATAATATTCTTCACAGTACAGTTAATCAGAGTTCTTAAATACAAATGCAATTTAAGGAATTGTATAATATTATTTTCAGTACATTTAACCAGAGTCCTTTGATACAAATGTAATTAAAGGAATTGTAATGCAATTCTTCTCAGAACAGTAAACCAGAGTTCTTAAATACAAATGTAATTAAAGGAATTGTATAACTTACTTCTCAGAACCAGTGCTTAGAATACCTTTCATTTTTGATACGTATCCGGGGCTGTAAAAAATGGACCAGGATAAGGATCCAGGTCTTGAAAATTCTGTAAGATTTACTGAATTTTCGAACAAAGAAGAAATTAATAATTTTTCTTCCTTTTTTCGCAAATTTTTTGGACAAAATTGATAAGGCATTCAGAGATAAGGAAATTTGTGATACTCTATTTTTTCAAAAGTTAAGGCTTAGATTTGGAACACAAAAAGTTTTTTTTTTATAAAGTTTAGGTTGATATCTTGCCCCTTGGATCTGTATCAGTGAGCCTCCGCATATTTTTGCGGATCCGGATCCAGGAAGCCAAAATGTTGCGGATCCAACGGATCCAGATTCCAGATCTTAAACACCACTGCTCCGATTTTGTTATACCTAGCCGTGTTGGTGATCCTCTCCGCTTCCTTCTGGAGGAACTCCAGTAAGGTCTTCAGGTCTTCGTGGCTTAATGTCTTCGCCTACATCAAGGAGATTTTTTAGTTCAAACTCTTTTTGAAAACACATTAGATGGAATGTTTTGTTGCTTTCGGCCGCCCTTGCTCTCTCATTAAAGCATAAAACCATCCCAATAATTGTTCTCAAAAAAAAGAACGAAGATTTACGCAGGGTGGATCAAATTGTTTACAGGTCAACACTTAAACCCTTACCTTATCCAGAGGACTAATCTGATCATAACTAAGTTCTGAATCTTCAATGTCGTCTTCTTCTGACCTTGCCAGCCCCCGGTCAACTAGATCCTTGTGCACCAGGGTCAACTTCACGTCTCTAGACAAAGCTTACATGAAAAACTTCCCAAAAGTCCCAAGTTCCTAGAAAATTTTCCAAAAAGTAATGTATGTCCTGATTGCAGACTTAGGAGTTGAAATGAGAAAATCTCATCAAAAAGCACCTCATTGATCTAATACCCGATCAAAAAAAAAATAATAAACATTGATAAAAATCAACTGAAGTCTGTATCAAAAAATGAGCACAGTCCCAAGACGTACACATCAGTTCCAATTAAAACTACGATTTAGCTGCCAGAGATCAACCTGAAAACAGATCTGCTATGGCTGCTATCCCTCCAATGTGAAAAAATGTAACACATATTTGTAATTTTTATGCTCAACCTGTTATATTTTCAGCGGAAAAATTAATCATAAGATTAGATTAGAAGAATACAAATCTTGATATAATTTTGTTATTTTTCTTCCCCACCTAAAATGGACGAAAAAATTCAATTTAAAATGACTTTTTTCATTGTAAAGGATATATTAAAATATTTAAGACTAGCTACAAGGCCCGGCGTTGTCCGTGGAATTAAAATGGGAAAAAAATTTGAGAAAAAAACCATTTTTTAAAGCCTATAATACTCCCTAGCCACCCAGAGTGTCCACAAAAATGTCAGCCCAATCGGTCCAGCCGTTTGGCCTGCTATACGCAACATATATACGAATTACAAAAAGTAATGTATGTCCTGATTGCAGCGTTTTCCCCTCCCCTTACATATTTTAACTCCATTAATCATTAATTGGGGAGTTGAAATTGCAAAAATCTCAACAATAACCTATTACTAAATCAACATAAAAATTATACAAAAACTGAAGTCTAAAATAATAATAATTTTGATATTTTTTTGGATAAATTTCTTGCCCTTCTAAAAAGGACCAAAAAGTACAATTAAAAAGAGACTTTTGGATGCATTTTCAGAAGAATGATAAACCAATACCTGTCATATTTGTAGCAATGATGAACATATTCATATTGGTCTAGAGATCCACCCTGTAAATATTCCGCTTTACCCTGCACCTAAACATTCAACAAAAAATAGAAACAGGAAATTGGAAGACGACCAATATTCAGAATTTAATTTTTAACAACAAATGTCAGTGTACACTCCACGGAGAATTGCAGTGTACCGTTTCAAGTAGAAATGTCTTCATCAGAATTTTTAGTCGTCCATAGAATTTTGAGGACTTCTGTATAATATTATCATTTTTATAATTATTATTTTTAATATTTATTTCATAATTTATAAGGCCCCAAATGTGAGGCCTACTATCTTATTATTATTAAGTATTACTAAACTTGGCTTTAAAAATATGAGATTTGGATAATTTTCTTTAAGGGACAATAAGAATGATTTCAAGTCATCCTCCATACAAAGAGACCATTGCCTGATTTCTATTAGTACTCTTGAAACCTTTGTGTGTTCATCGAGTACAGACATATGTGTGTGTAAACTTATTGAACCCCACTTGTAGTCAGCTGCAAAGTCCGGTGTGTTCTGCTTACAGACTAACTCAACATAGCGCACATTTATATGGGTGGTGTTGTAAATCAGGCAGTGCACTATTTGCATTAATGGTCACATGAAATTACGCTTACAGTCCCTTTGACTATCTTAAACTTACTTTCAAACACACAAAAATTGCCAACAATTCCAAAAACAGGGACCAATTAAAAAGCAAGAACAACAAACACGGAACAACTTTTCTACAACTTGAACCGGCTCACACACAAGAGAAGTGATGCAACTTTTCTACAACTTAAACCGGCTCACAAGAGAAGTGGTGCAACTTTTCTACAACTTGAACCGGCTCACAAGAGAAGTGGTGCAACTTTTCTACAACTTGAACCGGCTCACAAGAGAAGTGGTGCAACTTTTCTACAACTTGAACCGGCTCACAAGAGAAGTGGTGCAACTTTTCTACAACTTGAACCGGCTCACAAGAGAAGTGGTGCATCCTTTTAACGCGGTTCAAATACTTCTCACTAAGCAGATTGTATGGAGTAATGCATTTTACAACTAGTTCATATTTGTCAAAAATAAAAAATTTCATTTTCAGTCAAAAAGTTTCGCTTAATTTTTTTGTTGTCACTCTGTGTGTGTAAGTTGAGACTATAGGATATATACTGAACTTTTAAATTTATTGTCTTGACTTTTGACATTTAATTTATTTTCAAATTTATTTGCTGTAACCCATGTTTTAATGGATCTATTGAGGTTAAATAATGGAATTTAAAGAGACTGTGTTACAAAACTCTGAATGATTTTTCCACAGAAGACGCATCAAGTACGCATAGGTACTTGATTGAAAGTATATCACAATGTTTACATGTAAAAACTATGTTAGCTAGCAGATGTGTGTTTTTCTATGAGACTATTGAAGCAAGTTCTAAGCTTTGCATTAGATTTCTTTCTAATTTATGTAAAAATGACCTCAACAAGGTTCTTGGCAGAAATTTATTTTGGATTGCAAATTATTGTTCTGTAAATCCTTCGGATCTTAGTAAAATGTTAGTTAAGAAACAAATGAAATAGTTTGATGTCCCATTGGAACATGAATGGAAAGTTCCGGTTTTACAAGAACTTTTAAATACAAGAATGAATAATTTATATGTTGAAGGATTCGATGAGTACGTAATAACTGAAATGATAAATATGTTATGTAGTGAGTAAAAATCAGTGTTTTCTATTTGTGCATAATTTTGCATATTTTTTCTCTTTTCTTTTGGAAACCTGTATTTTCAAAAAAAATTTATTTAAACTACACCATTTATAATGTATTTATATCTTTGTGTGTGAATAAATCTTTATAATATATAATATAAAAATAAAGGAGGGCCTGATATTTGTTAGAATAAAATGATTTTAGTTTAAATATAGAACAGAATAAATAAGATTTACCTGAAGAACAAAATCGCTGCAATTGTCCATATTCAAATCCAGTTCTAAAATATAAAAATATTAAAATTAAAATCCTGTGAAAAGTTGACTCATTTTCTTGGAAGTTGTTATATCAAATTTTAAAGTTTTAATCTAAACCTTAATTTTCTTAAAACTAAATATTACCCGAAAAAAGTTATATTTAATTCATTATCTTTGTTAAGCTCTGGAGGGAACACCTGGCTGCCATGTGCCTCTCAGATTTGCAGCACCGAGCCTCCGCTACATGAAAGAATATAGATTTGATTTAAGAAAATCTTTGTTTTAAGAAATTTGTTGATATTTGTTTAAATTTAGATTATTATTATTAACATCAACCTACAGACAAAGTATAACGACCTGTTGGTTGAAATACAATGAAATTAATTTTGCATTTTAAGGTTTATCGAAACATAAATAATTTTTCCAAAAAGGTATCACTTAAATCAAAGATTTTAACCAATCTAATCTGATTCACTTTATAATTTGTCTAAATATCCTCTTATTCGCGTAAAAAACTGCTGAGGCTCGGTGCTGCATAGCAAATTTGGGAGGCGCATGTTTAGCAACCCTTTTGAAATTATTACCTATTGCGACTTTTGCGATGATTTGATCGAGTTCAGTGAGAACATTTGCAGTAAAGAGTACAGGTGTACTGGGTTCTAGCATACAACAAGTTTAAAATTTAAGTATAAATGTAAACAATTAAACACAAATTTCTAAAAGAAATTGTCTAATATTCGAATAAAGTGAAAGTTACAAGAACAAAGAATGCTAACCAGTGAACATGCAGTTTGTTGTCGTCTTTCGTTTGGATAAAACTGTTTAAAAATGTAATTAAAGTAACCTCTTTGGACCAAACCAACGGGTTATTTAAAATTTTCTCAGATGTATGGAAAATGGAGGTTTTTTACCTAGCTGGATCCAGATTTTGCTAAGTACTGACAGCTTTAAATATACTCCTTAATAACAAGTCTGGTAAGCTGTTATTAAGTATCCGATCCCGTCGGAAAGACGTTAATTCTTTCGATTGAATCTAGTTTTCGTCTGAGATGACCTGACGACAAACAAGAATCGAGAATTCTTTTGTCGAAAATATTTACCTCTGCAGTCTGCATGGAACACAAATAGTAACTTTCTAATATACTTTATTTGAAATCTATGGTCCAAGATATCAAATTGAAAAAGAAAAAGGCAAATACAGAGAGCTGCAGCTCTGGGCAGTATGCGTAATATTAGGGAGAAAGAAAAGCAGAAATATTTGTCAAAATGCATTTTTCCCTTGTCCAGAAGAGATTAGAATGCGTAGATCTAAGATAGAGAAACATAATATGGATAAAAAGAAAAGAAAAAATTCACTGCTGTTTTAAAAATTTTGTAAAAATATGTTAAAATAATATTTTCTCAACCAAGGTTTTAGTTTCATTAAAAAAACAATGCACTATTATATTTAAAGTAATCAAAGCACCATATTTACAATGAAAACCAGAAAACTCTGAAATAGGAAGACGACTTTACAGCAATATTTAAGTGTATTTGATATTGTTACAAAGCAAATAGTTTTACTAGCCACTTATTAAATCTCAACTATTGTGAAAGGGGTCTGTTTACACTGAACAATTACTGTATCCCGTGCATATTGGACTATTTAAAGTCATAAATTAAGGCCAAAAATCGTCTTCCTATTCCAAAGTTTTCTGCTTTTCACTGTATATACTAAAAAAATTTATCTTATGAAGAACATTTTTTTACTAATAAGATTTAGGAATAGCGTCTTAATAAATGTTTAATCTTGTTTCCTAACAGATTGTTAACCAGTTTAGGGAAGACGACTAGTTTAAGTTCAGTTGATTCAGGATATTTTGCCTCTAGCCTAGCGGCGAGAACAAGACCTAAAAACGTAAGTATTTTTTTACAAAATGTCTTTAATCTATAAAAAGGCAAATATATATTTTCTTTGCAGTATAAACAGGACCACATATAGTTTGCAAAAATATGACTTTTAAGCGGGGGGAGGGTGAGGGGGATAATGTGGCCAGAGAGAGGAATAAAGTAAACTTTAAGTTTAGTTCTTTTTAGATTATTTTGGGCCAGAGGGGAAAACAAAACAATTTTTCTAAAAATAAATAAATAAGGTTACAAATATATTTCTTATCCTTCATAAAAAAAAAACTCATCAAAATGGTTTGAAGATGATCTTTTCACCAGATGTGTGAGCGTAAGTTTATTTTTCTCGCTTATTTGGGGAATATAGATGATACTAAACGATTTGTTTTGAGTGAACATTTTCAAAAACTTGCCTTTTGAGGTTTAACTTTTAACTTTTTCCCCAAGGGCATAAAACATCAGTCAAATTTCTTTTATCCTTTCAACGGAAACATTCTATACAGATGGAAATAGCGGCAATCATTCAATCCATAATCAAATCATAGTTTCCTTTATCGCGAACACTCCCTTGAAGAATCTTCAATAAAATTGGTAACGACATTTATCTCTAAAGTTTTAGTACTTTGGTGCAGTCCCTACAGTAATATTTCTAAAGATGTCAGATCCTATATAGAATGTAGAATGTATTGTAGATACGGAATAAAATATACCCCCCCCCCAGCTCCCTTGAAAAATGTCGCAAATAAATACCTGGATTAGTGAGTAGATTTGAATATTCATATTTAGATCGAATTTGTCGGACCATATCAGTAAAAGCTAAAACTTCGGCATCCCGAGCCACGGACCGCGTCTTGGCCACTCCTAGAAATATTTCAATTTTAGTATTCATTTGATTTGATTTTGTTTTTGTATCCCATCCCATCCCATTCCGTATTGTTAATAGTTTTGGAAAGTTTTTAGAAGAACTTTAATAAAGCTTAAAAGATTTCAAAACTGTATTATGTTAAAGATTGCTTTTATCAAACTTTTAACCTAAAAAAAGTGCAAAAACGACATGTTCGTTTTTACATCGTTTTTGAATAGTTTTTGAGTCATTTTTTGGATATAACTTCTGCCAGGGTCAAAATTTGTCAAAGTGTAGGAAAAACAAAAATGTTGAGAATAAAGAATTTTGAATATATTTGCTATTCTTACATTATGCTAGGTATTGACCCTAACAAAAAAACCTGAAGGCAAATCACTAATCCCATCCCATACATATTTTGTACAAACCTATTCCTTTAAAAAATGTAGCATCTTCTTTGACAATATTTTCGTAGTTTCGTGCAACAGTTTTCCTACGACTCAGCTCCGCCGCCGAAACCTCTGGTAGGGGACGCACAATTCCAATCTAATGAAATATATTAATACAGTTGTCGTCGCATATATCAATACAATGAAGACGACCTCGATTTCTATTCTGATTTTTACCGTGCAAGGAAAAGCTGTCGATTAAAAATAGCTTCTCTTTAATTGTTTGTAACCTTGTAATTCGAAAAAAAATTGTTAACAATCAAAACATAAATAAAAAGTTGTCTTTATTGTATGGATATAATCTTCTACCACCATAAATTCATAGTGTAACAATTCAACTGATGAATAATAATCAATTATGAATTTTTGGTATTTTTTGTTAAAAATTCGTTTATTTCATGAATTCATTTCAGTCAAAAATGTTTTACCCGTGTAGCTTTAAAATCTACTTATAAAAAGGACTGAAAGTCGAATTTCGAGTGACCCATCATGCAAAGATGGCCACGCCCGATTTATCATGGTATCCTTGAAACTTTTGTTTGCTCAAAAGTATGATTGAAATTTTCGCTTTTCTAGGTTTTTTAATTCTGTTTTCCTGCAGTAGAAATACGCAAATCACATTTATTCATGGGGCTTTCCATATTTGAATGGCGGGTCACTTTAAATCCCGGTTTCAGTCCCTTGAAGTACAATGCTGAACGGATATGTAACACATTCAATGAACTAAAGTTTCACAATTTAGTCTTGCAGGGACTTCCGGGTCTCAGAGTTTCTTACAAACTTACTCAACCGTGGGAATAACAGATACTCAGGCTTATCTCGGGGGGGATGGGTCAGACCCATTGATAATGCTAGAGAGGGGGGGATGGCAGTGTTTAGTGGAAGTTTGGCCGGAAGCCAGTCATTAAGCCAGCCATAGGCTATCATTGCAACTGGGGTTTTTGTCAATCAATCCTTTTTTCTATTTAATCAATTAAAAATAAATAAATATACTTTTTGACGGTTTCAAACTAGGGTAGTACCTATGTACTATACTATAGTGTGCATATGGGGGGTGGCGTATGTACTTCGACAGTTTGACAAAGTCTCTGTCCTGACTTCTACGGAATAATGGTTGATCGCTTGTTTGTTTGTTTGTTTGTGTGTTTGTTTGTTATATTTAATAATTCTCTGAATAAAATAATGTTTCCAAAAATGTTTACTTTTTTATGTTTGGGAGGTAGGGCAGGTAAATCAGTATCCGCCTCATCAGCTGCCTCCGCCGTTGTTGGCGAAGATATCTCCTCTGCAGCCTTAAATAATGTTATTTAACAAAATAATCAGAAAAATAATCTGTCAAAAACCAAACCTTAACTCAAAACAAATTTCCCATAAAAATTATATATATTAAGAAGTCTCAAGTTCATCGAAAGATATATAAAAATAGTTTCCCAATGATTTAATTTTGGTCTTTTGGGCAGGATTTTTTAAACAAAAACACAATTTTTAATAATATAAATTGAGACATAAGCCTCTGTTTCAACTTAAACTATTTTTCTTCAAAAAATAAATCTATAACAGGGTTTAAAATAAAATCCTAATATTAATTCCAGTCTTCAGTGTTAAATATTATCTATTAAACAGACAAAATGAAATGAAGTCCCTAAGGGCGTGGGGAGAGGGGTTTGCGGCCTCCTAATTGGGTGCCCCTGTAAAATCTTAAATCTTCCTACCCTGTCCGCCATGTATGAGAAAGGATCATATGAATCGTAGAAGCTTGTACTGTTTGTACTCTCCCTGCTGGTCCAGTACAGTTCATCCTCATCCTCCTACCAAACCAAACCATCTTTATAACACCCGGTGATTAGGAGAGTTATAAATATTAAATAATTAATTTGTTCGAAATATCAAACATTTTGTTAAAAAATGTGAACATAATAAATTAAAAGATATTTCACTTTTTTTTGTTTACTAAATCTATTTAATGTTTTGCGTAAATTGTTAAAAGTGGGTTTGGCCGGAAATAGCTGCAGTTTTTTACAGGCTATTTGAACAAACTTTTTGCAAATTGGCGCAAATTCTTTAAGCTCAAAATTCACAAAATGCTTTCCCCATGTCTAGAAATGGGAAGTGATTTTTAAACAATATATATAGATTCCTGATCTTTAAATCCATTGGGCTAAAAACATTTATATTAATTTGATGAAACAACCAGTTCTCAGACAAACTTGTGTCATTTGAAAAGTTCTGAATTATAAAAATTCCTTCAAATAACAGGATTGAAGAACAATGGACTGAAGGATGGGTCTACACTCCGGGGGGCCAGGACCTAGACGGGGATTGTAAGGTACAGGTCTCGTTGGAAAACGCAGTTAGGGTTAAGGACCTTTACAGATGTTACCAGTAATTTGTACTTTATGACCTTTTAAAAATACTCTGGTATTTGAACTTTTATTTTAGACCTTTCCAAGAAAGAAATCAATTATTTATACTCTTAAACTTTTCTTAAGACTTCATTTGTACTTCACCCTTGAAACCGTGCATTAGGGGTGGGTAATAAGCGGTTTCTGCCTCATAGAAACTAAGCATTAGGGTTAATGCTCGTTTGCTGTCTTATAAAAACAGAGCATTATGGGTAATGCTCGGTTTCTGCCCTACAGAAACCGTGCATTTGGGGTAATGGTCGGTTTCTGCTTTATAGTAACCGAGTATAGGGGGGTAATGTACGCCCATATAATTTCTAGATTGATTAGAATACAAAAACCTTTGATGTAACAACTCTTCTGTTAATCTCATTTATATTCTGTATAAAAGAGAATATAACTCGAGATTCCATTTTAAATTTCAGAATTCACAATTTGTTCCACTTTTAACAGTTTTTGTGATTGGCTTTTGTTCAAGACTAAAATACAAATTCATCATTTTCAATTCTTCAAATTACCGGGGGTACATTATAAAAAAAAACATAAAATAATAATAAAAATATTATTTTTAAAAAGTTTCGAAAATACGCAAATATAATTAAATAAATAGTGAGGAATATTTTTAATCTACATGCTGACCCTTTAAAAATTTATATTGTTTAGTTGTAATAGCACTTTATAAATATTACACAACTTGACTGGAATTAAACTGGGTTTAATATCTATATTCTATCTATCTATAAATAGGAAGTAGAAATCTCTGTTTATTTGTTTATTTGTTTGTTTGTTTGTTTGGATATCCAACCATAACTCAGGAACTCTTAAACCAATTTGCCTTAGGTTTTGATTTGGGAACTCGGGAGGACCATGGGAATGTTCTTCGCTTGATTTTAAAATTCTCTGTTGAGTTACTGGTTTTTTAAAAGAAAACTCCGGGAAAAGCTGGGTTCCCAAGTTATATATCTATTAAATATATAAATGTAACCCCCTCCCCCCTTGTAGGGTTATGTAAAGTTTGTTTTGATTTCCTTGTGTTCTATTAATGGATCAAATTCCTCTAGAACTGACACGGTAGTTTTATCTTTCTCGTCAATATCTAATTAATAAAAAATATAAAAGACTGTAAGCGTAATTTCAAGTGACCTCTGGGCAAATATGGCAATGTCAGATTAACGACGACGTATTCATATTTCATAAACAGCTTTGTCAGCAAGCATGAATGAGGTATCAATCTTTATAATTTGAAAATTGATTATTTTCAATTGTGAATACTCTTTAAAAGTGACTTGCTATCTTTGCATGAAGGGTCACTTAAAACTACACTTCCCGTCCCTTTAATAAAAGTTTAAGGGAAAAAAATCTTTAAAAAAAAAGACTGTATGCCCACATAAATAGGGTGGTACCCTTTAAACATTGATCTAAGCAAATATTTAAACAATTAAAATTATGTCAATTTCATTCCTGATCTGCTCTCCGTTGAATAAATCCTTATGTAACATTAACAAAGAAATCACAGTTGAAAGTAATCTATTTTCAGACCAAAAAATAAGAATATCTTCGTTGTTTTTGCTGAGAAGAAGGTTTAAAGGGTAACGTAGTAAGTCAGACATGAAACTTCTCAAATGGAAGGACACTTAAAATTTCCAATGCAAGTGGATTTTACTTGCGCGCAATTGCGAGCACTGCAAACTCCGAGCAATTCTAGAACAGTTGCGCGCAATTCCACGTAAGTCTGCGCAACGGAATTCCAATTGAAAACCCTGCTTGAAATTACGTTGACAATATCCAAAAGAGCAAAGTCCAATTTAGAGACCCATATCAAAATATAATATTTTTGATTTATTTTAAAATCTGTTTAATTTGAAATCACTCGCAAAGCAATTTTCATTTTTAAAGAGTTGTTCTGAATAAATAATTCAAAAACTTCAAAATGAAAATAAAATTGACATTTTTTCTTAATTAAAAAAAAGCTAAGTAAAAGTTGCTTACCTAAATCAATCAGACTTTCGTTGTCAACTTTAGGCATTACTTTTCTTCCTTTACCAGATCCTAAACTATAGCTAGAAACTGAACTCCTGAAATAGAAATTTACATAAAAAATGCAGAATTTTGAGCAGTGCGGAAAAAATGTTTATCCACATTTTTATTTTTAAAAATTAAGATTTACGTGGATTAAAAAGCACAATTAATCTACCTAAGTGAGGGTGGGGGTGGAGAAATTATCCCTCCAAGAGATGAAGGAGAACTAGGACTAGGGCAAGGGGAACTACGTCTCTGATGAGAAGGATGAGTTGGTGTAGAGGTGGATGGGTCTCCGTCTGTCCAGCTCAAGGACTTGGACATTCCTAGATATTCATATTTACGTGCAGCTTATGCTTCATAAGTATGTACATGGAAATTGATGGTAAAGTTGTTTTAATCAACAATCATTAAAAGGTTAAATGTAATATAAAAACCACTAGTCAAAATGCTGGGAGGAAGAAAAAAAAAATTTTTAATTCCAATTTTGGTTGAATTCCTGGGCCTTTGAGAATTTGAACCCCCACCCTCAGTTTTGTAACTGATGACGCTACTCACTAAGCCAAGAGGCTCACTCAAGGTTTACACATCTAGGATTGGATACGATTTTAATATTATTTGGATCAAGAACTCAAGAGATCAATAACAGAAGATCAAAAGATGTTAAAAACCGCACAAAAAAAAGCATGTATTTTTAATAAGAAAGAAGACGACTGTACTTATACCTTGGTTATGTAGCGCGGCATTCCGTTGTAAAAGATGGGTTTGAGGACTGTTAAGTCCCCATGGGTGGGACATTGGGCTAAAAGGATGGGACATGTGACCTGAAGCTCCAACTGATGTTTGGGACATCATCGATTGTTGAATATTGAAAGCAGGCGTATTCTTCAATAAGTAAATCAAATTTAACTCAATAGAAAAACATTCATACCAAACACATTGATGATAAAAGTGTGAAGGGTTGGAACTATGATAGAAGAGAGAAGGGTTGGAAGTATGAGAGAGGAGAGAAGGGTTGGAAGTATGATAGAAGATAGAAGTGTTGGAAGTATGAGAGAGGAGAGAAGGGTTGGAAGTATGATAGAAGAGAGAAGGGTTGGAAGTATGATAGAAGAGAGAAGGGTTGGAAGTATGATAGAAGAGAGAAGGGTTGGAAGTATGATAGAAGAGAGAAGGGTTGGAAGTATGATAGAAGAGAGAAGGGTTGGAAGTATGATAGAAGAGAGAAGGGTTGGAAGTATGATAGAAGAGAGAAGGGTTGGAAGTATGATAGANCTGTCTCTGGTAGGGGTGGGCGGGGGAAGGGTGGGGATGAAGGGGCGGTGTAGAAAAGGGGCGTGGATAAAAAGATGGATTTTGAACAGGTTCTCTATTCATTCGGATTTCATGAGTCTGAATTAAAGAAACTGGATTTGAAAATATATCATTTACCGTAAAATAAATAACCGGGGTTTCTTTATGACGCATGGTTGTATTCAGTAAGCAAACACTCGGGAGCTTTAAAAAGTCGGAATAGGGTTAGATGAAAATGTCTTACTTCCGGTGAAAGCGGCATGACCATTACGGCCCAACTATTAAAATCAAACTACCACAGACCTGATTGATATACAGGGTTACCCACAAAGGATGAGAGAGTAAAGACGACCTCACCCAACTTAAATATGGTTTAATTAAGTCTTCTACTTTGAAGATAGTCTTTGGGAAAGAAAGAAGTTTTAAGTTAATTGATACAGACATTATAAATTACGTTATAGTCGTCTCTGAAGTCTCATCCTTTGTGGGTAACCCTGTAGAATAACCACAGCGATTTCATTTTAAATAAATAATTTAAAAAATGATTTTAAAATGATAAAATTTTGAATGTTCCTGTATAGAGCTTTGACCATATCTGTCTGCTGGGCATACATATTATTATTATTCTTGGCAGGCAGTTCAAGATCAAGCGCTTCAAGATCATCCTTAACATAGAATACAATAAGGCATAAGCAAGAAGAAAAAATGGCGCAGCCAGGAACAAGAGTGGAAAATTAATCATTGGGTAAAATAAACATGAAATAATTAGTAATGTGCAATAATTTTGTTCGTTTTGATTGTTTTTGGACTTTTAACAGCTTCAAAAAAAACTCAGCATTTTTATAAATTTCAATATTATTTAACCAAACAATTACTATTCTTATAAAAATACCCAATTTTGACCCTGAGAGAAAATTATACATAACGAAGCAAAAACGAACGCCTTAAAACGTTATTTTTTTGGTTCGTTTTTCCTTTTTTTGTAAATATTGCAAAATTTCATAAAAGCAAACTTTAATAGAATAAAGTTTTGAAATGTTGCAAATTGTATTAAAAGTTTTTAAAACGAACAAAAACGATTAACGATCCTTGTAACAAATAATTCAACAATTGGAGCCCTAAAATGAGTTAGCATATAATTATCATTTATAATAAAGAACTGAAATGAACCTAATTAACATTTTATTACTATGAAAAAAACCGTGAAAATTTATTTTTTAGCATGTTCATCATATAAATGGTATCAAATCAAGTCCTACAGCCCCATAAGTAAATTACTAAATCAAGAATGAGAAATGGCCTTGCAGCTAGCGATAGGTATCCTGTCCTGTAATTTATTTTTAATCTGTCAACAGGGGCGCATACAGGATTAGGAAAAATGGGGGGCTTCATTTTTTTACATTCTAGAGACTAAATGCCCCTAGATATCATAGTGTTCACCTATTTTGAGTAAAGGGGGTTAGTCCCCATTTCCCACCCGGCCCTGCATACATTGTTAAATAAAAACTCAAATACTTACAAAAGCATTTATTGCGGATTTAGTTTTTGAAGGATTAGGTGAGAGGAAGGAGATTAAATCCTGTTCTGCCTCTNAAAAGGAAACCCTAGGTCACAAATAACCGAGAGATTGTGAAGATTACATAACAAAACTAATTGTAACTAAGTGAACTGAGTGCAGTACAATACATTATTACAACTTGTACTATTAACTGCAAGTGCTGTACTGTAAACACTACATACACAAAGGGAGCTAGATAAATACTATAGAAGTGTGTAATATATATAGATAGATAGATTGTTTGATAGATGCATCGGTAGATAGATAGATTGTTGGATAAGAGAAAACAGATAGATAGATATTAAAGAATCAAATTTCCTAGAAACGGAACTCAAACTGTTGAACTGCAGCTTTATGTTAAAGTTGNCCATTTTCTTAATTCTCTGAACTTAAATAATTTAAAATAGCTGCCATTTTGAAAACTAGTTTTTCTAGATTTTTAAAATTTTTATAGTTTAAAAAAATGAGCACTGAGATTCAGCAATTTTAACATTGAAGAATGGAGAAATAACTAAAATTCTGTAGATATAATTAAAAACATAATATATCAAAATAAAAATAGTAATAAGAGAGATTATATCTATTTGAAAATTTACATAATTTTGCCAATTTTTAGAATTAACAACAGAACTGTGTCAGTCAGAAGACCAGAATAAACATTTTTTTGCCAGAAAATCGTGATTTATGTAAAGTTTGTAGATTTTGTTTATTATCACCCAACATTGTTCAATGTCCAATATAAAGTTGTAGATTTTAAATCTAGCAATCTTAAAATTTCTAAATTGTTAAATTTGTTATAATTTAAAAAAAAAAAAAAAATAATGTTTCTGATATTTTTGCAAATTCCAAGAAAATACCCAATATTTTCAAGATTTCAGTTTAAAAGTTTTTCAAAATGACAAAAATAAAAGATTTCACATTTTGTAATGTCAGCTTATAACCCCCCTCCCCCCCATTCTCTCTTTCAAACACGAAATATTTAAAGCATTTGAGAATCTGAAAAAATGTATGGCAACAGTAAGTATCCCTATTGGAGCAATGGTTCCGTGCAAGAAGGGGCGGTTTATTTTCAAAATAAACATTTATTGGCGTTCTCAAATCATATTTGTTGGCTTGATTTTTTTAAACATGTTCTATTTGATACCCCTCTAATCCCCCCCTTTCATGTGTAGTATCAATCTAACACCCCTAGCCCTACCTTGAATACAAATTCATCGGTTCTTATTTTTCTACTATCCACCCTTCCCTCCCCAGAAAGAAAAAGTCAACAAGTCTTATCTATTAAAATGGGAATTTTTTCTTTCTAAAAATGTATTTTCACAAAAGAAGAATTTCAATCCCTTCCTAGCAAAATAAATGAAAATAAGAATTATAAGATATTTTTGCAATCGCCTTTGCCTTTGTAAATGATTATTTTCCATTCAGTATGGTGATACCTTTAAGGAAAGCTATTATCCAAATATATTTTGTCTCGAGTTAAGAATTTGTTTGTTCATGTTATTATTGCATACTGTTGGAAAATGAGTAATGTCTATATACGAATGGACAAAGAATGCTGTTCCTTGATCATATCTAAAAATCATATGTTATGCATTATCTATCTATATAATATATCTGTCTGTTTATATGTATTTCTGTCAACATGTATATCTATCTATCAGTCATATTAAATCTGAGTTTAGGTTTAGTCAGGGAACATGATCCATGGGTTTAGTATACCATGGCTTTATCAGGTTTCTTTATCTGTGTACATTTTGACCCTGCATAATCTTATTCTCATCTTGAAACTATATCTCAGTTTGAGAATACGCCTTCGAGCATACACATCTTCTTAAAGGAACTGTATTTGTAAACGTAATTTAGTGACCCATTAGTAGAACGTCATGTCCGATTCAGAACGGTAACCTTAAAAGCTTAGTCTGATTGAGATATCCATGATTTTGACTTTAAAACTGATTATTTTCATTTGTAATTTACGCGTTAGACACTTTTCAAGCTTTAAAAACGACGTTATTTTTACAATATTGATTTATTTTTTAATTAAAGGATCAATTAAAATTTGTGTGTGTGCTGTGTATTCTATTTTGAAGTGTTAAATATTACATCTGCAGGGGTCTCATCCTTTGTGGGTTACCCTGTAGTTTGAGATATTGAATACAATCTGCATTGGGTTGGATTTATAGAATAGAAAATTAGATTTTAATGCGAGTAATCAGTTCCTTTGTGATTAATTCTTATTCGTTTAAGAAGATAAAAATGGAATATTGTGCAGGACGAGTAGCTCTAGTGGTTGGAGCTAGCGCTGGAATTGGTGCTGTTATATCTCAAGGTGAGAATTCAAAGGTTTAATCAGCTAAATAAGGGACTGTGGACAATATTTCAACCTCAATTTTCAGTCCGATTTAGATCTGAACCCTTAGTTTGATCCAGGAGCAATAAGTTAACTTTTTGTATCTCGTTAAAACTTTATTATTTTCAATTTCGGCTTCTCAAGCCAAGTTACATACGGTTTTTTGATACAGAGACAAAAAAGAAAATCATCAGAATTCAACACGCTTTTAAATATTCTTTTATCTCAGACATGTGTTTAAGTGGTACCGTTAAGATCTCTTAAAGGATATTCACTTGAAAACTCATAAAATCCTGAAAACTGCAGATCAGCTAAAAACAACGCAAAAGTTAGAGAAAATTCACTGCTCTTTTTAGTTAACTTTTTTTTTTAATTTAAAAAATAAGTTCTTAAAAAAAGTCACTTGAAATAAATTTGCCGTCTCTTTAAAGAATCCGATTTCAATTACTGTGAAAACTATCTTTCGTTTCAAAATTATTTTCAAACAAAGGATAATTTATAAAGTATTATTTACAAACGCAATGAGAAAACCTTTTAACATAAGGAAAAAATAGATATTTTACACAAGACAAATAAAACACGTTTGAAATCAACTTTTTATTACTATTAATCGTACTTAATTAGATCTAGTTAAAGCTGGTATGAAAGTGGTTGGTTGCGCTCGAAGAGTTGAAAATATTCAAGAATTGGCAGATTCTCTGCGCCAAGAGAGAGGGAAGGTAAAGAAAAGTTTAAATCATTCAACAATTCTGAGGTGTGATCGATCAGCTGATTACTCTAATAGTTGCAAGTTCCATGCCGGTACAACATTAGTCGTAATGTCCATTCTGGACTGCCCAGACCCAGCAAGTTTTATCCAAATTACAAATGTTCAATGTACCCTGGCATCTTAGCTTGAAATCCACAACTCAAATCAAAGCAACTGGATCAAAAAGTACCACTTGCCAATGTACACAAAGCAGGAAAATATATTCATGAAAATACCCCCCCCCCATCTACATTAAATCATTCGTCGCTTAATTTTTCTTAGTCTTATTAATTTTTTTTTTAAGTTTTAACCTTGGCAGAATATCAATGGGTTCTCATTAAAGAATACAATTGTGAGAGAACCAAGAGCGTAGGATTATTAATTATTTAATTTAATTATTTTTTAGCATCTTGCACGTTTTAATCTCGTTTTAATTTATAAATACTTTCATAAATACCTTTTTTCGAGCCGAAATATATNGGGGGGGGGAAGTAACCAATTTTCAAGAGTGTACTGTATATATGTGAGACGTGAAACATTTTGTTTTGTACAATTCTTTTTAAATAAAATGTGAAATTAAAAACTGAAATATATATATAATAAATATGAAATGGGATATTTATTTAGGAAGACATATATCCATATATATATATATATATACATAGCCCGGATGACACATCCCTTCAAAAATGTATATTTTAGCTGTATCCAGTCAAGTGTGATTTGGAAGTGGAAGACGACATTCATCAACTTTTCAAAACTATAGAAGAGAATGAGGCAATAAAATATTTCAATAATGAAAATGTTATGTTTCTTATACTTTCTAGTATTCTAAATTCAAACAACTCTTTTATAAGGAACCAAATTTTTTTTCTTATTCCTAAATCTTTGCAGTCTGATAGTGCAAGCCTTTGATATTTTAAACTATGAAGTCAAATAGTCAAAGTTTGAGATATCAAAGGTTTACATTATTTTGGTTGCAAAAAGATATATATATTACAAATTTAGGTTTAGGTTCCAGTTAAAAAGTTCCTTTGTAAAACATCATTACCAAGATTACCAACTGTTAACAGAAAAAAATAATTTTTATATTTCAATCAATCAATCAGACTTTCAGGGACGCCCTCTGACCACATAGCAACCCATCATTACAGTACTAAGTTGTTTTTTAAATGAGGATTTACAATTCACAGATGAAGAAATGATCACAGTGTCTGAAACTTATGATTTAAAAAAAGTTTTTCATTTACGACAGGCAACCTAAAAAAGTTTTCAAAATATACTCTAAAAGTACATCTTTTTAGATAAAAATTTAGGATTCTAAAAACTTTTCCAAAACAGGATCGAAAAAAAAATTTGCAATGAATTTTGTTTTTTCCTCAATGGAAACATTATCGTGGCCTTTTTAATAAAACAAATTGTTTTTGTTTTTTTTTTATCAAAAATAATAAGTTAAAAATTTAGGAATTGGGTCGGATAGATGTTTGTATCTACAATGCTGGTGTTTCAACAAGTAAAGGTCTTGTTGATGAAACAATGAAAAATTGGAGGAAAATGATGGACGTTAATTTCTTTGGTAAATTATTACGCTTTCTTTGTTGACGATTTTCACAGATTGCTGAGCACCCATTGAGACATAAAAACCCCAGTAAACCCAAGAGCCCCAAAAGCCCCTCCTCCACCCTCTGCAACAGATAACCTCCACATCTATTTTCCTACTTCAGGAGCCTGCCTGTGTACACAGAAAAGTATTGATGTGATGAGGAAGCTTGAAATTAATCACGGTCAAATCATCTTCATCAACTCACTTGCTGGACATAATGTTGTCGACTTCAAGACAACAAGGTAGATATTTTAGAACTAAGCTTTCTCGCGCCCATCTTTTATTTCAATTGTGATAATTTTGTTTACATTGTAAACAAAAACAAAAACAAAAACAAAAACAAAAAAGTTCGCGCATTTAAAAAGTAAAATTGTGGATTTTTTTGAATTTGATGAAAATTTTATGATCATAAATAAATCTTTCCTACGGTCATGTGAGGTTCCACACATTATCTGGGCCCGATTGGTTTGACCGTTTTTACGTTAATTGGATACAAACAAACGAACACCAAGACAGACAAACAGATAGACAAGCAAAGTATGTATAAAGATAGCAAAACTTAGCGGTAATCTATTTTCAAATGAACGCTGGAACAGTATAACCTAATAACCTTGAAGTTCATATGTACAGGAGGGGGGGGAGGGGGTCCAGAAATAATATGATGGAAGGGGCCAACTTTAAAGTTAAAGTCCAAACAATGCTCCCCTAACTTTTTAATCAGACATTTAGGGACGCCCTAAAGTCTTTTTTAAATCTTTTAAATCCTTAACATATGAAAGAATTTAGAATTGAGAAAATGTATTTAAAGGTTCTACTCCGCCACCAAGTATGCAATGACAGCACTCTGTGAGGGCTGGAGACAGGAACTAAGGGAGCTGGGTGCAACTATTAGAATATCTCAGATTAGCCCAGGTTATTAACAACATTAAATTTTACAGGAATTGTAAGCGTAGTTTAAAGTGACCCTCCATGCAACGATGACAATGTCCGATTTATAACAGAATCATTAAAAGCTTTGTCTGATCGAGTATGAAATGCATATATTATTTTTGTTTCTTTTAAACCGTTTATTTTCATTTTCAGTTTTTCTGAAAAGTGACTTGCGCATTTCTTGCTTAGAAGAAGCAATGAAGAAAAGATTGATTACTTTTTGAGTCAAAAAAACGACGTTATCATCCACATGTTCGATAAGATTAAGGTAGTTTGGGTATTACTGTAAATCTGACATTATCATCTTTGTATGGAGGGTAACTTGAAATTACGCTTACAGTCCCTAAAAAATAAGAACCAAAATTAACAACAATAAAATTTCTCTCCAATCATTATAATACCATCTTGACAATGACACAAAAAGTATCCAGTGAAAACAAGTGACATTTCTGCTTAGGATATGTAGAATCTGATTTTTGGGACACAATGTTTAAAGATGATAAGGCGCTTGGAGAAGCAATGAAGCCAGCCAGTGGCTTGCAGGTAACTTGTATCAAGTTGTATCAATACAAACTGAACGGCCTTAAGAGAGGCATGACCCATTTACCCTTAAATTGTTTATCTGATCATTGAAGTGCAGAAGTGTTTAATTCCAACGATTTTCCCAACCATGGTTCTGGACCAGATGTGCACAAGTTAGTTTTTAGAGATACCACCATTGAGAATGATAAATTTTCAAAGAAAAGATAGTTCATGCATTCTAGATCCGATAAATCTTTAAACTTACTTGTGTGTATTGGGCATTCAACTCTTAAAATGGAAGGTCAATAATATAAAGTCACATGAAATTATGTCTACAGCCAATAAATAAAAATGTGCAAATGTTTCAGGCGTCTGATATCTCTGCTACTGTACAGCATATTCTATCTACACCTCTTCACATGATTATCAGTGATGTTATTGTACGCCCTGTAAACCACCCTATTTAAACAATACTTTCAATGGCTCTAAAAAGTAATTGATATCAAACTTGAGTGCAAGCTTTTAAAGATCATTACTTTTTAACTCAAGTACTCTTTATGGAATGTTTTTAATGTATTATTCATTCAACAAGCAATGATAAGGCTTCAAATTGTATGGATGTTAACCTATTTATCAAGCTAAAATTAAACCTTTTTGATGCTTAACTAAACAAACAGAGGTAGAGTTTCACAAGGACTGATTTTACAAACAATGGACTTATCTAGGATTAAACCACACTTTTATCTATACCTCATCAGGGGAAAACATTTTCTACATTAGAAATTCTCCAAGATAATTTTTACCTTCTGCAAACTATTTTCTGTTAACAAAAACTAAAACTTTGAAAGAAAAAATATCCCAACCAGATAAAATGGTAGCTGATAATTGAGTTCATTTTATTCAGTTTTAGTAGTAGGGAGTTAATGAACTTGACATCATATTTTTATGTGAATATAAAGTTTTAACAGCAATCATTAGTGAACCTGTGATTATTAATTTTACAGAGACATGTCTGTTTTAAGAAAGGCCAAATATTTTAAGGAGGTCGAAAAATATTACTTGCAATCTTCGAGAAAGGTCTATTCAGTTTTAATTTTTAATAAAAACAACACAAGAATTCCATCCTTTTTATTCAATGCTCTTGTCTAAAACTTATATAAAACATCTTTATTAGGTTCCACTTAAACAAATTTTAATAATTTCAGAAATTAAGAATGGATCGGTGGGTAGGACGTGTTGCGTTAGTGACTGGAGCAAGTGCAGGAATTGGAGCTTCAATAGCAGAAGGTATGTCTGTGGCATATCACAGCAAAATGTTTTACAGAAAAATTCTAATTCTTTCTTGCTTCAATAGCAGAAGGTATGTCTGTGGCATATCACAGCAAAATGTTTTACAGAAAAATTCTAATTCTTTCTTGCTTCAATAGCAGAAGGTATGTCTGTGGCATATCACAGCAAAATGTTTTACAGAAAAATTCTAATTCTTTCTTTTTTAGTCCTTGTAAAAGCTGGTATGAAGGTAGTTGGATGTGGAAGACGCTTGGAAAACATTGAGAAGCTTTCTGCATCTCTTTCAAATTATTCTGGAAAGGTAAAAACCAAAATTTGTAATGGTTTGATATCTAACACTGAATAATAATCTGAATAGCTTTATGGGCGACAATGTGACTTAGAGAAGGAAGAAGATATTAAGGACATGTTTACCTGGATTGAAAATAATCAGGTATCAATAAATAGTCAGTAAATATTTAGTTGTCTCAAATTTTTTTCAAAACTAACATTGCTCAATCAGGAACTTGGGCATATTGATGTGTGTGTAAACAATGCTGGGTTCTCAACTTCAGAAACTTTGAGCACTGAACAATATCAAAACTGGAGAAAGATGCTTAATGTTAATGTATTAGGTAATTATAACAAATTAAGACTCAAGAAAAATATTTCATGTGTATCGCATTCAATCAGGGCTATGTCTCTGCACTCAGCTTAGTTTGCAGTCAATGAAGAAGAACAACATAGATGATGGGCATGTGATCATGATAAACTCAATTTCCGGACATAGAGTCCCACCAAATCCGTCAACCAGGTTAAACATGAAAAGACATTAATCTTAAACTCTGATAAACCAAACTTGAAGGAAAACAGCAATAAAACAAACATTTTAAGGACAAATTTCTTGTCCAATACTGACAATTGGCTAAATGCTACCGCCAAGACTAGACAAGTTTAGAAAAATGGAGGTTTTCAGACTCATATCCCTTGAAAAATATGTTTGCCTTTATCAATGCATTATTATAATGCGTTGATTAAGAAGGAAAATACCACCAGGGTTCTCATGCTTTTTCTCCAGGTTTTATTCAGCAACTAAGTTTGCTGTAACTGCGCTCACAGAAGGCTGGCGACAGGAAGTAAGAGATCTAAAATCCAACATCAGGATCTCTGCTTTAAGTCCAGGTAAAAAAGCATCATAAACTTTCCAACTGTGTAAACAAATAAATAAAACAAGCCAACTTTCCACAAATTATTGAAGCACAAAAGAATATTCAATATTGATAGCACCTTGAGACAAGAAATAAGCAGATAACTTACAATTCAGTTTATAAGTTTTAAATTTTAATTAAAATAACATATTTACAAAAGGACTGGTTGAGACTGAGTTTCAAAGCTCAATGTACCCGCATGATCCAGAGAAAGCAAGGTCCATTTTGGGTAGCATAAAACCACTACAGGTAATTAATTAAGAATTATTTGCGATTAATTAATTTAATATTTTAAGAGCTTTCAAAAGATAACTTTTTGTCTATCTCTTTTCAAGAGAATGTTCAGGAACAATGAACATGCTAGATGCTAGGTCTTCAATACAAAAATTTAAATCAATCAAGTCAGTCCTTTCAAAATTATAAGTAAACTTTTAAATAAAACCATTAGAATGTTGACACTGTAAATTAAATAAGTTAAATCAACAACCTAAACCACACAGTTTTAATCGTAAATATATGTTTAGAGTGAAGATATGTCATCTGCTGTGGAGTTTATTTTGTCGGCTCCAGCCCATATGCAGGTTCATGACCTGATAGTTCGCCCTACTCAACAACCATTCTAACCATCCTACTATACAACCATTCTACCCATCCTACTTAAAGGGAGTGTTCGCGAAAAATGAAAGGGGGTATAGGCTTAATGCGATAAAAAAGCGCTTTTGATCGCTACTAATCTTACTTCTATCTGTTGCTTCTATGAGGAGAAAATTGTTAGAAACGACTCACACGGAAGAAGGCAGCGCCCATACAAATTCGGAAAGATGCAACATTCAACTCGGAGTGAGTCGTTTTTAACAATTTTCTCCATATAGACACAACAGATAGAAGTAAGATTAGTAGCGATCAAAAGCGCTTTTTTATCGCATTAAGCCTATACCCCCTTTCATTTTTCGCGAACACTCCCTTTAACAACCATTCTAACCATCCTACTATACAACCATTCTAACAATCCTAATCAACAACCATTCAAACCATCCTACTTAACCATTCTACCCATCCTACTTAACCATTCTAACCATCCTACTTAACAACCGTTCTAACCATCCTACTCAACAACCGTTTTGACCATCCTACTTAACAACTAATCTAACCATCCTACTGAACAACCATTCTAACAATCCTACTCAACAACCATTAAAACCATCCTACTATATAACCATTCTACCCATCTTATTTAACCATTCTAACCATCCTACTCAACAACGGTTCTAACCTTCTACTTGACAACAGTTCTAACAATCCTATTCAACAATTGTTATAATAATCCTACTAAACAGCCATTCTAACTGTCCTACTCAACTACTTTTAACTACTTCAGTGGTCTCGCAGTTCAACTTTTAAACTTGTTAAAATAATTGTTCACTTGTTAATTCAAATTATTTTTCCTCCATTGTATATTTTTAAATAAAAATTATAAGAGATGAATTCCGAATTCAATTGTTTATAATAATAATTAAAATCGCAATTTCTACATTCTCTTAAAGGTATGCAATATTTGCATTGCAAATATACACATATGAATTTAGTTTTCTTAATTTGTTTCTGTGCCCAACCCCAACATTTGTTTGTTCAATAATCCCTTAACAGATAGAAAAGGAATAATCTAAAATCTGCTTCCTACCTTTCCGAAGTCTCAGATCTTTATTTTCTTCTCCACTGTAATTTTATTCATTTTAAACATTCCACTTAATAAAAGGTTTGGCAAGACATTGCATTTTAAATCCTTTCTCAAAATTAATCCAAAATAAAAGAGAATCATATAAACCCATTATTACCAAAATAAATCCTGAAAATTGTTAGGAGTAAAAATTGTATGTAAATTTATGAAGAATATTTCCCTGATAGCTTTCTCCGGAGTGACACATGCTTGTTCCTGGAACAAAGTCTTAATCAGGAGTTTATCACAACTAAACATTTCTGAGTAAAACTAACTCCACTCCCCTTTTTTACACAAGATTTTCAATTAATAGAAAAGTTACTTTCGTAGTCGACCCTAGAAATAATTTTCATCATTGGCCTGTAGATGGGTAAATACTATACAAATACATCCTAACTCTAATTTGAATCAAGAAACTAGTAAGTTTAGGATCAAAAGAATCAGGCAGAGAAACTTCTTCTCAAACAGTTGTTAAAACCTACAGTTAAAAGTACCTAAAATGATCATCCTAGGCTGATGCAGTTTTAACAAAAATATGATAGAAGATTTTTAAAACTATGTTTCTTCTTTTCTTCGCTAATTTTTATGCTAAAACTTCAATTTTAAATAATCTCTTTTTTAACGTTTCAGATTTGGGTTTTGAGAGCAAAAAGTTTTTCTTAAAAGTCTTAAGTTGATATTTTGAAACTTAAAACCGGATTCGAGGATTCCCATATTTTTCAGTATCCAGATCCAGATCACAACCTAATTCTGATCGCACAATTTAACCTTTAAAAAAGCATACCAACCTGCTTGTAAGTGTGTAAACTGTTGGCAAGAGCAAGCTCTAAGTCAGAGTTGAACTGAGAATCAGAACCCTAAATAATTTTTTTTGAAATAAATATATTCTAATTCTGTAGTCAACCTTTGAATAAAATGTGGAACTAACATCTACTCCTTTTACTCTATAGAGGTTTGGTCAATCATCATCACCAAATTTTAAAGTTAACTTCATTATCGACCCATAGATGGGTTGCATCACATTTCTATTTTTAATTAAGAATCTAGTAAGTTATGGATCAAAAACAAAAAAGAGGGCGTGTCTAGTGATGCTAATTTCTAGGCACCCCTTTTGTTAAGAATGGTGTATTTTGGATGCACTTTCTAATGGATGGTTCAGTTTAAAAATGACAGAGTTTACTATTATAATTTACCATGATATTGTAAATGAAATCCTAAATTGAGCTAAAAAAACAGATTTTTCCCATGACGCCCTTGAAAAAGTTTTTTTAATAGTTCTTTTTGTAGAAATTTTAAATATTTTATGTAGCTTTATTTTCCTTTCCTGATTTGATTTTGCATCAATGACACTGATTCTTAGTCTTTTTCAGGAGTCTGTTGCCGATCAAACAATCCCCTGACTGTTAGTTGGCTTTTTAGTCCTTGAATCTTGCAAGGCTAATCTTACATGCTAAATCTATCTTTGTTTGGCTTTATTTTCATGGCCTAAAATTCTGAGATACCTGAAATCTTAAGTATTATAATTGGACATTGAAAAATATTTATACGAATACCTTTTATGACCCCCCCCCCCCCTATCTATGCCCCTGATAAGGAGAAAGAATTGAGGATTTTTCCTGTTTCTTATTGATTGAGAGAATACAGGTGCAAAGTTAGCATCCTTTACCTCTATTATTACAGAAGTTATTACAAATTACTGGTCCTTTCAGGTTAAAATAAAAGTTACAACGTAATTCTGGGAATGTATTCAAATCCTCCAAGAATGTGGTATAATAGTATATTATAAGTTATCACAATTCGGCGTAAAACAGAGTAAATTTTTTTTGCGGGGGAAAATCTTTCCAAGTTTTTAAACAGTAAAGTAAAGATTTATTGTTGCAGAAAAAAAATCAAATATTAATTATTGAGAAGAAGACAGAGAATATATTAATAATGGCGCTGAAAAGTACATCAGCCATTTAAGTTTGAATTTAATATTATTATTATTATTAATATTACAAAACATCATTATTGAATAGAATTAATAAACATACCTGCGCCATTTCTGGAGTTTTAGTTCAGCAGAAATTATTTATTTTATTGTTTTGAAAATCCAGCGCATCGTGCCGAAGAGATACAACAGCTGTTAAACTACAGTACAGCTTCACGCATGGTGTTTATCATGTGCACTAGGATATTCTCTTAATCCAAATCTATCGGATACAGAAAAAAAAATCTTGAACTAAACTAAGCAAGCTCGATAAGGTCATTAAAAATTGGTTATGAATTTGCGTCTTTTATCACACAAAAAATAAAGTTCTTATCTATTAATATGAATATAAAAAGAGTTATATATGTGTGTGTATACTGTATATTAAATTACTAATCTAATTTAGAACATAATTCAGGATTTCGAATTAAAATTTTATTTGATCCTTGAATTTGCAACCTACTCTTCATTTACATGAATCTGCTAAGAAAAAAATAAACTGTAAATATAAAAAGTTTAAAAATATAAATATAAACAAAAACTTAAACTGGTTCAATAGTTACTTCTATCAACTTTACTTTGGACCTTAATCATCATTAAATGAAACATCAATTTAACAAAAAACGAATTTCGACCATATTAACAAAAGACACTCAAAGGGACTCTAAGCGTAGTAATTAGGTGACCCTCTCAAGCAAAGATGACAATGCCCGATTCACATAGGTACCCTTAAACCCTTCATCAAGGTTTGTAAGTGCAGTCTAATCCTAATCTTGCTATTATCCTTTTTTATTTCCAGCATAAGAAATGCGCAAGTCACTTTGAATAGAAACTACAAATGAAAATAAGAAGTTTTTACATTTATGAAAATTAGTGTCAAATTATTACTTGATCAAACAAAGCTTTCAAGGGTACCGTTGTGTATCGGGTATTGTAATCTTTGCATGGAGTGTCACCGAAAATTACACTTATAGTCACTTTAAGTCAACAAATAAAATAATTCATTGAGTCATCACCCTTATCTCGTCAGAAAGGGAAGCAGTCAGAATTTTGTCTTAAGTTTAAATGTACAGATTCACATTATTTTTTCAAAAGATTTAATTTTACAGAGGAGGTTGCAAATTAGCGTATTATTTTTTCATATTGGTTAAATTTTAAAAATTATTTCTTTAATTTCCTTCTTCGCCTCTCTTTGCTTTCCAATAGTTCTTAATTATTTTTGTTTCATTGTTTTAATTCAATTTTAAATTTAAATAAAAAAGGGCCCGGTCTCTTATTTGAAACAACCATTACAGGGGATATTAGTTCCACAGCTAACACTTGGGCCATTTCTAACAAATCTGCAAAGTTATCCTCAGACCCAGACCGAAATATATTTTCAATAAATTTGGAACTAACGTCTACTTTTTTAGTCTACAGAGGTTGAAAACGGTGAAGAGATTTAATGTAAAAAAAACTCCCATTATAATTTTGATTTTACAAAAAGTTTAGAATTGGGAATTATCCTCGTCATGTTTAATAAAATGTTAGTTAAAGTTTTTAAAATCGACTTATACTCTGGATATGGGCCGGGATCCCAAAAACCCAGTCTATCAATTTGTGCCCATTTCTAACACTCAGAGTTAGAAATGGGCTAAGTTTTAGTTTTGGAACAAATGTCCCCTGCATTGATGGTTCAAGAGGCCAAGGCTAAATTTAACTATAAAAGTTGTGCACTATCTGTAATTAATGTTATTACATAATTAGTCAAATAAATATATCTATTCATCTACACTCTAAGCGGGGTGGGGGATGGCAAGCCGCACCCGTATGGCCTCCATCCCGCAATTTACTCACAAACATACACTTGTGGCAACGCGCTCATCCGTGGCACTTCCTTAGGCGCACCCATATATCTTCCGGCTTATTAAAGAGGAATGCACCGTTTATTTAAGATTTTAATGACGTCATCACATCTATTTTAACCTTAACATAATAATCATATTTTTTTGGTAATATAAGTAAATATTCTCGCTTTCTAAGACAATTTTTGTTAAATTTCTGTCAAAAACTGATTGCGATTTCCTTAAATGTAATATTTTGTTCATGCCGACTGGTATTGATCTTCTCTAACAATTCAATCCTTACCAAAAATAACGCAGTTTTGTGTGCGATTCGGGTTTAAAATATCTAAAATCAGATAGATAGATAGATTTAGAAGAAAACCTTTGAAAATTCTGGTAAAATTAAATTTCTGTCTTCCTTCAAAAGCATTTGAAATAAGAATAACATCAGCAAACGTGTACAAGATATTATATTTTAGGATAAAATCGCAAGACATTAAGCCGGAAGGTATCTGGGTGCGGCTAAGGAAGTGTTACAGGTGACCGTGTTGCCGCAAGTCTATGTTCGCGAGTAAATTGCAGGATTTAGGCTATATGGGCGGCTTGCCATCCCCCCCTTCTACAGAACAATCAGAAAGACCCGGAATTAATTGACATTTAAGCGGCGACTTGACATATAAATCTTGGTCAATTTTGAATGTTTCAAATGCAGACATTTAGGAAAAGGCATAAATCGGGCCGGCTATTTAGTGAATATAGTTTCATGAATCATATTTGTACAATTAGATTGTAAAGTCGTCTGATTAATTGTAAATAAATTCCGGGTTTTTGATTAGGACCGTATTAAAATTAAACAATAACAAAAAGAGTAGTAGAACCCTTAAAAAAATGGAAGTTTAAAAAATGGAAGTTTTTGTATCTGCCTATAGCATGTAGTTGCATATCCCTACTCCACTAGTATTGAGTACACATTGTTTACATCTGAAACCAATTAAAAGTACAGTACAGATAAAAAGTGAGTACAGAACATGAAAAAAGGCTTAACGGTACAAATAAAGCACAAAAAAACGTATTTAATCAAACTCAAGTACATCAATAAAACAAATTTTGAAGGATCATGAGCTATGAATATGACTGCATACAAAAATTAATAACAGAACTTAAATTATAATCTTATCAAAGTTATTTAACAAACTTGTCACTTGTTGTCTCTCACTTTTGCTTCGTCACTGAAGTTTTAATAAAACCTGAATTATTTTATAAGAAAAATAATTTAAATAACCTGAATTGATAATTCTTATTCCGAATCAATTTTAGTTCTTGAGGCTGGTGGGTGTTGACTGTTGAGTGTTGATATATTCACAGCCGTTAGGAAATCTACAGAACATGTACGTACACATCCACGAGATTTAAAACAATAGCAGTTGTTGGAAATCCAAGTCCCACAGGATTAAGTAAGATGAGAAATCAGCTTGCAAACCTGAAGAGCTAGATGGAAAACAACAGTAACAGCAGCTAGCATATCTATAACAGCAGATGTCCATTGAACTCCACTAGATGAAGAACTAGATGATAAGAGCTGCAACAGCAGCTAGTAGATCTATAACAGTAGATGTCCATTGAAGTCCACTAGATGAAGAGCTAGATGGGAAACAACAGCAACAGCAGCGGATTGAATCTCACCAAACCCACTTAAAATCTAAATATAAATTCTTTTTTCAATGCAAGTTTTTGTCAGAGAATTAGAGATTAATCGTTTAAACTTTTCTTTATCTTAAAAAAACGAAGAGAAATGGAATGCTTTTAATCTGCGAAAAAAAACAATTTCAACTAATTTACAATTTTTAATAGTTTACCCTAAGAACATTGAAAGATGTGAGTAGGTAGATGAAGTCTACAAACCACCAGAGAAACTGAGTTGACTCTGTCCCCCATAGCAAGGCCAGGAGCTGGAGAAACCGAGTACAGAAGGACAGGAGTAGGCCGTCAAACAACCGGGGGTAGTTAACCGCCACAGAACTCATCTATTTATACAAGTCAATTAATAAAGAATAACATTTTAAATATTATGTGGCATATTTTCAACCAAAACATCCAAAACCTTTTGCTATTGTACCACATAACAAATGAAGTATCATTAAAAACTATCGTTGAATATTGTGTAACTGTATAAAACTTAGCAGAAGAAATTTTAGGAAATTTGCTTTTGATAAAAGAAAATGGCAAAATTTTAACAACTGTAACTTTAACAGTTTATTAGCCACAAACTACCAAACCTAAATCTACCTGGCATAGATGATAATAAACTAAAAAACAAGAATGCAAAATACCAAACCAAACTTAACCTTGAACAGCTGATAAAATGATACAATGAGAAGACAGATAGATATGTTGACTAGTAAACTGCTGACTGCCAAACCAAACTTGGCGTAGAATTCAAATTCACGTTCAAAGAACTGTCTGTCAGCTGAATCCATTGCCCATCTATAAATGAAAAATTAGTTACCTAGACAAAAGTTAATAATATGAATAATTATGAGGATTTAATTATTACAATAAAAAAACGTTTTAATTCATAAACTCATTCTCATCTAGAAGGGGAAAATTTATTTGGCGTACTTTCCTGTTTTGCCGTTTCTAAACTTTACATTTTACAACCTGGTCCAGCTGCTTAAGAGTTGGTGCTGTACTTGGAAATGGGTATTTGCATTTTTTACATATATAGATTTTTGCTGAATTTTGTTAAATAAAAATTTGAAAGAGAGTAGTTAAAATGTACCGGAGTTTTCCTTGACTACCTTGGTATTGAAATGTAATGCGTAGAACCCTGGTTTTACAGGTTAAAAAATAAAATAAATAGGAAGGATATAAAAAAACTCGTTAAGAAAAGAAAATAAATGTTCTAATTATTAACACCAGTGCTGCAAGTCTTTAAGTCCGATTCAGTTCTAATCCAGAATCATCCCCAGATCAGGGTTCTAGGACCGGTTTAGAACCATTTTAAAACTATATCAAGCTTTAAGACTCGCGGCACAGGCAACCTGCAGTAACTGTCCACAATAAGTGTGAGAAACGCCATTTTGTAGATAAGAGTCCGATGCTCTTGATTGATCAGAGAATGACGATATGCTGGCGGGTGCTGCAGAGCTAAATCTAGCAGAACCAAACAACCCTCATATTCTTGAAATAAAAATGAAAAGTTATTTATTCATGGCTAATATGTTCTCTTAATACACTCCCTCTCGTGTAGCAGCAAAAACTAACAGCTTTTATCGTATCAAAAGAGAACAATCTCACGGTGAAAATGCAGTGTATGCGTTAAGAAATAACAATTTGTTAAAGGGAGAGACCAGCTACAGGGTGTCCCAATAAACATGAGAATTCAGTGACGAATTCGATATCGTCTTTCTAAATAATTCTTTGATTTAGTATAGCACTGAGAAAGCTGTAATCTGGAAGAGTTTCGTCTGCTATGCCCACATTTTGTCTGTTTATATTTTGACGGTTTATACGGTTGTACTTAGTAAAACAAGAAAATTGCAGTATACAAACAGAGTAAACTTGTCAGCCTCCACTGTTCATCTTGCGAAGACATAACAGACACATCTTTACAGCCATTTACCGTTTTCATAAAATAAACTCTAGCAGACATTATAATATTAAGGCGATTGAAATTAGATATTACAATGCTAATTCACAACAAAGACGATATCGAATTCGTCACTGAATTCCCATATTTTTGGGACACCCTGTAGGTAACGTAGTTGAACTGAGATTGCAGTATTATAGAGAAAAAATTTAGGATTAATTTAAAAACAATGAGACGTTTTCTTTGTGTAAAATTTCTAAATGAGAGCTTAAACTCGTTAAAAAAAATTTACGAGGTGGATGGTCAGTAGAAGAAATGTTTTTACGATCATTTATAAACCGACAAAAAAAATATTTTATAGACTAATTTGCTGTTTAAAAACATATTTCTAAAAAATTAAACAAGCCATAGTAGAACCGCAGAATCAATAATTTCAATATCATCATCGACTTTGCTGTCTCATAATTTAATTCTCAGATTTCTTCCAAATTTCGTCTTCACAATTAAAATAAAGAAAACCTACAACAAGCTACCCGAGCTGAAAGATTTTAAAATGAATTTTAATTACTTATATGGTCAATGATTAATGTTAATTATCTTTCACAATCTGGATGTATAAGTGCCTCTAGTTGTTAGAACAGAATTTGTTTCATATTTTGTCCTTTGTCCGAATTTAATGAATTTAATCCGCGTCTCAAACTCCCTAAAAACCGGTTTCAATTGAGCGCCGTCTTAAATCTTGAAAAATTTAATACAATTTATAGTGGAACCCACCATATTTGAGCCGCGGCTTAAATTTAAGCCACGGCTCAAATTCTTTAAATTCGTTTTTTTTAAATTATTGCAAAAACTTGTTTTAGCCGACCAACCCTCCTGGTGAAATTTAACCAATTATATGCTCTTCTTTACAAATTGTACACCGTAAACATTTCTCATTGGCATCAGAGGAATCCAAAAATTTGTCTCTAAAATAATGCACTTTCAGGTAAATTACCAATGGGCTGATGCTTTTATTTTTAAAACCAAGGTTTTTTCCAACCCTGAGTTTATATAACACCTGAAATTACGTCCCGAGTCCCTTTCAGCTAAATGTGGCTAATATTATTACCTATATATTTATCTACATAATCCTTGCACTGTGTGCACTCAATGAGCTTGATGATTCCTGTGCTCTTGTACAGCTTCTCATCATACACCTCCCTCTTCTCTTCACCCTTCTCATCCAGCACCTCAACACCACAGTTCACACAAACCGTCATTGTTTATTATTCAATTATTGTTTAAAATATTATTCACTAGTTCAACTACGGAGGTTTAATTGTTTACAGTTTTATTTTTTCCCTTTCTTCTTCCCACCAGCAGCAGCTTTGGATGCTTTAGTTTCAGTGGCAGCTTGTTCTTCAGTTACTAGAGGTAGGAGGTAGTAGTTCACAATTCGGGCTATTTCTAGCTCAGTTAGATTACCAGTTCGAACCTGAATGTATTCAAATTTATTAGGAACAACGACGTAAATTAATTTCAGCTTCTATCAGCTTTTTATCTCAATACTAAGCAAAACTAACAATGTTGAAAAGTCCGGAATTCTATTTTTTTTAATTTAGCCTTCCATTGTTTTTCAATGAAATATCTATAAGAAGATTAAAAATTCGTACTAAAGACTACCTCTATTTCTCGTTTATCTTGGAGTTCAATAACTATGGTTGGTTCTCTTCTGTCATCAACAATATCAACCTTGGTAAGAACTTTGATATTTGTCTCCAGTACCTAATCAATAATCATATATATATCTATAAATTATATAATAAAGCTCTTTGCTCATGTATATATATCGCTATATATTTATATATATGTTGGCTGGCCAAACGGCTCGGCTTGATATTTTTTTCTTCAAATTTCGATTTAAAAAAAAAATTCACAGGCAAACGCCGGGCACTTGAGCTAGAATATATAAAGATGTAATATCTATCTGTTTGTTAATATGTCCGATCATAACTCAGGAACCCCTTGACCTATTCTAAGTTGAGTGGGTCAACATTTATGGGGAAAAATCTGAACTCGTGTATTACGAGTAAGCGATGGTAAACGGCGAGAGTAAGTTAGAGTAACCTGGGCAACACTGGGTTCTCAAGCTATTCTAATAAAAATTGAATAAAGGGATTGTTCAACAAAATCAAAATAACGGAATTTAGGAATCGGGGGACATCTTTGAACGATGTGGTTGTGTTAATTATTACAAGATTTACTTAAAGTAGTTTAACAATTAAAAATCCTTTTAATATCAAATAAGAGAGTAGTAACAAGAGTAGTTTTTCGAACAACGTTGAGCTGAGTTGCATAATTACAATACATTCACATTATGTAAAATATATTTTGATCAGTGGTCAGGATCCGTATCCGTTAAAAAAAAAGAAATATCATAAAAAGTCCTTATCATAAAATGGTTCAATAAGCTTTGGCATTAAAAAAATATCCTGGATACGGATTCACATAATATTCGGATATTTTAATTATTCTTTTGTTAATCGACAATGCTGCTACTTCCACTTATTGGTAGCACAAGTAATCCACGAAACAATTGTTCGATTCGTTAGACATTTTATAACAGTGATTTAGGTGCGACTTCCTCGCCTGGGAAATCGCAGCTAAATCAAAGCTAGAGAATGTTTAACGAATCGGATAAATGAATTTTTAATTTTAAAAAATCATCTAACCTTGGGTCTATTCCAGAAGTACATAAAATTGCGGATACTCTGGTAGTCCTCTCTCATCGGGTCAAATGTGTAAGTTATCTAAAAATATATTTATCTGTGTTTAAAGCGTTTAAAGGAAATGAAGACGTAAATACAAGTGCATTTGCATATTTAAAGTGGATGAAAATGTCACCTTTTTAGCTGGTTGAATATTTGCAGCTTTAAGCTCATGGAGAAATAATTCAGTATTGCTGAGTTTTCGTCCGACACGTCCTGAAAATTAAATTTTTTAAGCGACAACGGGAACAAAATCTAAAATCTTTTCTTCTATGTGTTCCCAATATATCTTCCGGTTCTAGGAAAGATTTTAAAAATGGTTATCTTCTGGCAAAAACATATCAACTTTGAAATATGAAATAATGAAACGCCATTTTTTCTCCCTCCCCCCCCTCGTCCAAGTTAGAAGGAAGGATTTTTTCAAATCTTTTAACCTTGAAAAATATTACCTTCGAATGGAATATAACCAAGATGTGTTCTAACACTAGTAACCAGGGGTGTTCCAGCTCCAAGGGAGGTTGCCACGGGTTTAAAAGCTGATGGCTTAAGACAGATTCGAGAGAAATGAACTAACCCCTGCATGGTTCAGGGAGCAGGATGGCGGAAAACTATAAAAGGCGGATGTGGTCGAATGCTGAGAACGCAGTTATAAAAACTAAACCCTGAAATTTGAAAATTAAAAGCTGAGCTCTCTGAGCCGGGGTTACTAACAGATAATATTGAAATTTGATAATGATATCTTATATTAAGGAAAATAATGCATGAATATAAATTTGTTTAGAAACAATTAAAATTAAAAATGTTCAACGCTATATTAAAATGAATTCGGTTTATAAATTCAGATTATTTTCCGACATTTCAGAGAGGATCAAAGCAAATTAGATCCTGACCACATATTTATAGCTTGTCTTTTTCGCTCCTTAATAAAACTAAACCCATGATTATTTCAACACCAACCTGGTTTATTTGAGTTCTTGACTTTAGATTTCAAATCCAAACTGTTCCAGGATCTTGGGAGACACCCTGCAACAAACATAATTTAATTCAGAACAAACAAAAAAACTGAAGAACAGTCGAAGATTAAAACACCGAAGATACTAATATCGTATTTGATCCAAATTTTGATTTTAAAGAATGACTTACAGATTTGTGATAAACAATTTCAAATTAAAAATGCCGAAAGGAACCTAACATGTGAATATATTAGCTGTTTTAAATCATAAAGTCTTCGAACGACTTTGTGACCATGCTTTGTAGTAATTTGATGTTTATCCTGTTTAATATTTAGGTTTAGGTCATATTTTCAATTGATCTCTCATTGAAAGAATTGCATTTTCATTTTACAATGAAACACTTTAACCTTAAATTGTGCAGCAATAGGGAAGATGTCATCGTTTTTCTACCCAACAAATGATAAAATTCTGTCAATTCTGTCAGTTTCCACTCTCGGTATGAACCTGCAAATCCCTTTGGCAGAGAAACCAACGTGTGAAGTTGTCAAATTTTAAGTGAATAAAACAATAATATCTTTATCGTTTTTGCTCGTTTTAAGATTGAAAAACATCAGTAACAATTTCACATTGATACTTACAAGGAGGTTTAAAGGGTACCATAGTGACTTGAGAATGCGACACTTTGGACTAAAAGTTAAATAAACGTTGACAGTCTAGTTTCAGGGACAAATATAAAAAAACTCGAATGAGACCAACCTGATAATTCCGATACAGATAGTGAAGATGATAAAGTTTCCAACAACAGCCTGGTTAGCCTTGCTCGATTCTTCAGTAGGGTCAACCTAAACAATCAATCAGTCAATGTATCTGTCTTTATCTCAAAACAATCAATCAATCCACCAATTGATTAATTGATAGCACGACCGATGAAATTACGGCATTAAATTAATATTTACTTGAAAATCACTCCAAATATTCAGCGATTTAAATTATTTTCTAATATAACTAATAATACATTATATATTACCTGAGGGGGTGCGGGGCCTCCCAAACGAATCATTTTACTATTAATAAATTTTAAAATTCTGAAACAATGTACAATTATCAATTATGCGTGTTACACAATGTAATTCCCAAAGCCAGTAGTAAACAGGTTTTTGAATTTACTAATTCATTAGTAGTGAAGTTTGATTTTTAAGTTAGCCCTAGATTAAAATTACTGCTTTTAAACGTTTTTAAACAGTTGCATATTTTTAATCGGTCTTGCTTGTTCCCAATCACACTTGAAACATTTCTAGTCCATATTGAACTTCATTTAGATTCAAGATTGCCATGATCATGCTAATTATTTTATTCCGCTTCTTTAAGGAACTGTAAGCGTAATTTTAAATGACTCTCCATCTAAAGGTGACCATGCCTGTTTCACAACGGTTCCCTTAAAAACTTTGTCTGATCAAGTATGAAGTTGGCATCAATAGTAATGATTTTGAAAACTGAATAAATAATTGTAATCTCTTTAGTGACTTGTGAATTTATACTTCAGGAAAACATAAATGAATTATCGAAATTTAACACTTTAAACCCCAGAACAACTACAATATCTTCGATTCTTTTTTTAGACAGGTTTCAAGATTACCGTTGTGAAACCCTTGCCATCTCAGCAAGGAGGATCACTTGAAATTACGCTTACAGTAAATAAAGCTACACTGCCGGAAACCAGTGTAAATCTAATACCCCATGGACCGCATTTAATGAGTTGGGAGTAAGCCGCTAAACTACCCACGCCAGTTCAAGTACTTTACTCAAGTTCACCGACAATTCAACCCATTCAGACAACAACAAGTAACAGGATTTTAGTGACATGGATAATTCAAAAATTAAAAACTTCAAGTTGAACAATCAAAAGATTTGCTTTTACGTGGATCAATTCACGCCTTCTCGACATTCATTAAATTCGATCTCTGTTTACAATGGAATAAATAAATAATGAACAGGAAAATTGAAATGGACGAAATACGTTAATACTTCCTAATTGATCAAACTTTGAAATTGAATCAATAAGAGAGTTTCTAGCTCTGAATCTGTATCATTTATGATTGCTCAGCTCAGTAGTCCACTAGTCTGCCTTCCGTTTTGTTTCTTGATTCTCTTCTTGAACTTGATCTTGACCTTGATTTTCTTCCTCCATCCCGGGATCTTGATCTTCGCCGGTTTCTACTTCCCTTATCCCGGGACCTTGATCTTCGTCGGTCCTTGCTTCGTGATCTTCGATTTCTCGATCTAGACCTAAACATAAAACAACCAATCATGCATTACAAATAAACTTCATAAAAATTTTAAGGCAAAATATACATAATACAATAAAACATCTTTGAGAAGTAAAAAAGAAAGAATGCCACAAAAATTTACATTCAACTTGTCTTAGCCATTAATACAAAGATAGATCCTACAATTACAATTTTTTTAAACATACTTATGAGAATCGTTACGACACTTAATATTCGAAATAAAAAATTCATTATGCAGTTGTCATTCTCTCTCCACCGAGCAATTATCTCAAAAATCAACCTTGAATCAGAGAATGGAGATTCAACCTAACAGTTGTTGGTGAAAATTTTGTAGGTTTAACAATAAAGTTAGCAAATCTTCTGTCTGAAACTTTGCTTTACGTCATAGTTTTCAAAACGTTCCGAGTTTTGAAGAATAATCTAGTTTTTACCTTATTCTCTCCCTAGACCTGGACCTTGAGGAACTACGCTCCAATCTTCTCTTTTCCCTTTCTTTAGCCTTCATCTTCTCAGAAATCTCACGCAGCTCTTCTTCTCTACATCAAAGCAAACAATCTCAATCAATCAATCAATCAATCAATAAATCAATCAATCAATCGATAAATCAATAAATTAATAAATTAATACAGCAACAAATCAACAAATCAATAATTAAATTAATTTACGATTCAAAAAATAAATCTTCTCAGAGATATCACGCAGCTCTTCTTCACTACACCAATCAACCAACTAACCAAAAAATAAATAAATAAATCGACCAATCAATCTATCCATATCAATAATCAATAAATCTTTAACAACCTGAAAAATTGCTCCTCCTCTAGTTTCCGTAATCTCTCTTGTTCTGCTTTTTTATCCTCCTAAAATAAGGAGAGAAAAATTTAATTCAAATCTGAAACCGAATTTTTAGCATGTCGGCACTAAAAAATGAAAATATAATTTGTTTTAACAAAACTTGAGAGTATAAACTGTACAGGCTGATCCCGAAATAAATTTAATAATATCTGAATGATTAGTTTTAAATTTTATTGGATTGTTTGCGGTTTGGGTTAAACTCTCTTGAGTAGCGTTCCTATTTACACAAAAGATAGAAGTGCGATCAAAACCAAATTCAATCCGGTATCAGCCTATACCCTTTCATTTTTGCGAACGCTCCCTTTATTACAAAATATCTATACAAATATTCACGCAAGGAACTTCAGATAGGCGTCTCAAGGGTCTCGATGAAAAGCTAAAGTGATTAGCTTTTAGCCTATACCCCCTTTCATTTTTCCTTTACTGTCCCTAAATATTTAATCATGCCTGATACCTTGTAAGTTCTTTTTATTTGCTGCTGCATTTTTTTGCGTATTTTCTCCTTGAGAGCAAGGGTATCCTCCTAAACAAATATGCCGCGTTCGTTTTTAAGAAAACAAACATTAAGTTAAAATAAAGAACAAGGGAAAATTTTTGAAGCCCAAACTACAATTGCGTGGAATTCGAATAACTTTAAAAAAGAAATTCAGAGAAACATATTTCTCGGAAATTTATGTTGGGAAAAGAATCTAAGAGAATTCAATAACTTTTACTTCAAAAAAAAAATAATAAACCCTGCAAAACTTGGATAATCTTCTGAACAAATGCAACGGGAGGGATATATTTATATGTTAGCAATGGCTGGCCAAACAGCTGCACCAAACGGACTGAAATTTTTTAAAGGGAACTCATGGGTGCCTTGGGAGTAAAAAAGGCTAAACAAATTGTGACAAATTTTTTTTCAAATATTGAATCTTTTTTTTTAATCACAGACAACGCCGGGCATTTTAGCTTGTATATCTGTAAAGCATGAATCTCTGTTTGTTGGTTTGTATGACCGATCATAGGTCAGGAGCCGAATGATATGCCTCAAAGTTTGATTGGGTAATTCGGTAGAACCAAGGGAAAGTTCTTAGCTTGGTTAAAAGCTACAATTGAGTAGGTGGACTAGGAAAACTAAGTTTTTTAGGCAGAACTGGGTTCCCAAGCTGGTGTATAAACAACACACAAGGGTAGAACATTAATAATAAAAAAATTGAATATATTTAATATTTTTAATCCGTAGAAGAAAAAACTAGAGCTTACTGACTTTTGCAGAAGAGGACTCTTTTATCTTTTTTTCAACCCTGAAACAAAAATTAAAATTTGTAGAATTCAGAGTCTAGAACTTTTGACTGGACAGAAAGAGTTAAACTTAATATTTTCTCCTCGCTGTGAGATAACCAATTATCTCAATGATTGAATCCAAAGTTTAGGCCAATATATTTGGTTAGATAACCAATTATCTCAATGATTGAATCCAAAGTTTAGGCCAATATATTTGGTTAGAACGAACTTAATTAATTCCATCCATTCCAAAGTATTTTCCTGGCGAAAATGTTAAAAATCTTATTACAAATATTATTTTCGCAAAATAAACATTTTTTGTTATATGCATGAATTAAAGCTTGTATTTTTTCATGTGGTTTGAGAGTTTGTGATGATTTGTTGTATACCTTTGTTTGATTTTGTGACTAATTTTTTTAGACTCGTTATCCGAGTCCATAGAGAGTTCAGAGTCTGATTCATTCTCTTTCCGTCTCCCATAGTACCTGATCAATACAATAATTGACTTTTTTAAATTCTAGAATTACAATCTTATTGATTTTTAGATTATAGGGACTGTCGGTATTCAAAGCGAATCTCCGTTTATAGAGGGTATTGCCTGATTCACAACGATACCCTAAAACTTTAATTTGAGTGACAATATGTATGATTATGATATCAAAGTTTTCTTACCTCAAAAACGTTCTAAATTGAAAACCAAAATTGGCAAAGAAAACCTAATTTTCAAAGACATGATGGATATTTCATGCATTCTTTATCAGACAAAGCTATAAGGGTACCGCTGTGAATCGAACACATCCTACATATCCTCTATACACGGAGAGTCACTTGGAATTACGTTTACAGTTCCTTCATTCTGTGAATATCTCACCGTTTAACAGGAGGTGGTTCAATACAAGGCACTGCCCCCGGTACACTGAGTACACCTAACCCAATAACAGTTTTATTAGAATTCATTGGCTCATTAGTAAGTCTGAGTAAAGACATTGTTTTCTTTAAAAAAAAAAACGAAAAATTATAAGTTTTAAAATTATAATAAAGGATAAGGAACATAATAAGGAAATATTCTAATAAAAAAATACTTTTGAACAAACGAAATCAGTATCTTGATTGATCTAACGTTATCTAATCAAATCACACTGTACAGGGATTGTGATTGATGCCATCAGAAGGGTATATATTTTGAAGATTTGAGAAATGAAGTTGAAGGAATTTTTTAATGGAACGGGTGGGTAAAAGGATTTTAAAGAAAACATAGTAATCCTTTAAAAAGTTTTTAAAGATTGTTTCAGAAATTTCTGAAGTTCTCACCTAAATTCTCTGATGGATTAACCAATGCTGCGCTTTCAACCTAAAATATAATACTTGAAAAAAAATTAAACCATTTTAAATCTACAATTTGTATCTGCTTTAAACTCTGAGCAATCCCTTAATTTTTATTTTTATTTTCTACCTTGGGTATTTTTGGTTTAGTATCTTCATCACTAGAAGCATGCTTGTTTCTGTACTTGGATCTGTATCTGAAAGAAAAATCCAGTTTTAATTAAATTTGTGAATTAGTAAAAACACTCCAGCACTCTCTCTCAACCTTTCAATCAAACCTTCGAGAATTTATCCTTTAAAGTTTCTAGCCATTTGGGGTAAATTCTAATTTAAGTGGGAAAACGTTAATGAGAGAATACGTCACATGATTACTGAGTAGTTTTATTTTTTAATAATAAAGATCTTCCCTAATAAATAATTATAATGTTGGCTGTAGCTGGCCAAACGATTGGACCATGGGTACTAAAAAAAAGTTTGGAATATTTCGAAATTCCACGGGCAACGTCAGACACTTCAGCTATTACCAAACTCGGATAAACGCCGGGATTAACTTTGAATATGACGAATAATATAAACTTGGGCAACGCCAGACATTTCAGAGCTAGCTGTAAATATTATCTAACTGCTTACCCATTCTTGTTCTCTTCGTCGTCAGAGGAATCTGAGGAGTCCTTCGTCAATTCGTCCGGATGTGGAATTTCTAGAAAATAAAGAATCAAGTTCAAGTGTCCACTCCCCTGATGCAAAAGCCTGCAAGTCAATTGGGTAGAAAACCGTGATTGAAAATAATCAATTCTCAAAGAGAAAAACAAAAATAATTCCATCAATTTAGCCCAGACAAAGGGAAAAATGTGTACCTTTGTGAATAGATCGACATTTAACCCTTTAATTGGAATTTCAATTCGAATTTTATAATTTCAATTTATCTTCTAACCATTAAGATAAAAAGAATAAAAATCCCAAAATTGAATTTAAAATGTTTACTTGGCAGAGGCGGGACGAAGCCTGGTGGTATTCCCTCCTGAGTTGTCTGGGGCGGGGGCGTGGCTTCTCTCTCCAGAAAGTCCAGAGCTCCCAGGGTGTCAGGTTTAGGAGGCGGGGGATAGGCCAGCATAGAAGGATGGTGATTAGTTGGAGGTTTATATTGAGATTGATGGGTGGAGAGGTGAGGCGCTGCGGACTTAAATACTGGTTCATCTCCCTAGTTTAGTAAATATGTAAACAATTACCGGTTAAAGGGACTGTTTCAAGGGAACCTCAATGTAAAGATGACAATGCCCGATTAAGAACGGTACCATAAAAACCTTTCCCAAATCAAGAATGAATAAGATGTTCATTTTTTATAAAAAAAAACTATTTTTCATTTGTGGTTTCTCTGCAAAAGAGACTTGCGCATTTCTTACTAAAATAAACAACAGGGAAAATTCACAGAAATAAATCTAGATTCTATTCAGAAAACGACTTTTGGCCAATTTCTTAGACGCTTTACCATAGGTAGAACCATAGTCACACTATGGTTACGCTTTACCAGAGCAGTGCAGAATGTAGATAGATAGATACGACATATAGTTGTACCTATGGTTAAATGAATAAGAAATTGGCCAATTATAACTTCCACATTTTTCATCAGATTAAGGTGTCAAGGATACCGTTGTTTATCAGACATATCTTTTCTTGCATAGATGGTCACTTACAGTTAAGCTTACAATCTCTTCAAGAATAAATTATTTTGTAAAGCCGGTGTGTTGTGTAGCACTTTAAAAAAATTAAAATAGCCAACTGAATTTAGAAGCAGTCTTAACCACGTTATTACGTTACACTCAAACGTCAAAAGCTTAATAAAATAACATCTTTTTTTAATTTTAGCGGATTTTTCTTTTCGAATTTGCGCATTTCCAACAGCAAAATTCTAAATATTTCCCTAGGATTATTTTTTCAATGTTTTATGTTCCACAAATCTTACGTGGGGTCATTTGAGGTCCCACACAAAATTTGGGCCGGATCGGTTCAGTCGTTTATTTGATACAAACAGATTGCTAAGGAATCAAATTAACCTCATTTTTAAAAGTTATTCTCCCCACATCAACTGGAGACTGGGAACCTCTTCTCAAACTACATCTAGACAAACACGAGTTTAGTTTTAAACCTAGCTGGATAGGTCAAAGTTAAAATAATCAACCAACCAATCAATCATACTTTTAGGGGCACCAAATATGACCACATCAAAATCTCACCGTGACTTGTACTAAGCTGCTAAATAAGGTTTATAATTTGGAGATGAAGCTATTATATCCTTTAAATAAGATAATCCACTGATAATTCAATTTTCAGGCTGTACTGTTTTAAATTACCAAAAAAATGGTCTGCACTCAAAAATGACAGGAAAACATTTTTTTTATTTTTTTTTAATGAGATTTGTTTTTCCCGGGACATCATGTAAGTTAGGTTAAAGTAAAAATAATTTACCAATAATGAGCTAACAATGACAAATGACAGGAAATTGTAACTATAGTTATAAAATATTAAACGAGAGTTGCTTGTGAACATGATCAAATCTTAGAATTTTTCTAATACGAAAGTTTTGAGAGGCAAGTTTTTAATATTGATCTGCCAGGGGTTGTAATCTGGCAGCACATTCATTTGTTCACGCTTCATTTATTCGGAAAAGAATGTTGACTAGAATCCAGCTGCCTAAGGGCAGTAAAACTTAGTAATATGAAATAAAATATTAAAATTATCAAAAAATTTACCTGGAGGAAGATTTCGACCCTGATCTGGATTTAGATCTCGATCTTGATCGTGATCTTGTTCTTGTTCTTCTAGTTCTCGCTTTTTGCTTGGATCTTGATCCAGACTTTGTTCTTGATCTCTTCTTTGAACTAGAATTACGTTAAAATTTAGCTTTCTTTTAGTTTTCCTTGATTTTAATAAATAAACAAGATCCGAACTCCGGATCTATTAATCAAATCAAATCAAATCAAATCAAATCAAATCAAATCAAATCAAATCAAATCAAATCAAATCAAATCAAATCAAATCAAATCAAATCAAATCAAATCATGAGTGTTAGGAAAAGCTTCAGGCTCCACTCTACAGCTTGGAGTTTCAAGTCCTGCCTGAGAGATGGGTTTTCAGCCCGGATTTGTTTAATGTTTATGCCGTTAATAAATTTAATGTTTAAATTCGGCGAAATATTCTCAGCAACACGACCAAGTTTGAGCCATGCAACCATTTTTAGCTCCCTTTCATTCATGGATGACCATTTGTATGCTAAATATGAATGAATGAAGGGGAGCCCCACAATGGTTTGTTTTGTTACTGATATGCATTCTTATGAATACATAGCAGGGAATTGTGTATAATGTTTATAAATATTACAGTGAAAAGTTAAATTTAAACATGATTCAGACTAATGGTCATGTTGGAGATAACTAAATGAAATACTTAATCTTAACAAAGTAAATTTTAAATTGCAATTGATACATAAAATGATTGATTTGATAATAGTTTTAAAATAGATCAAGAATTTGATTAATTATTTTGAACTGGAATGTTAAAAGTGTATATAAAATGATTGATTTGATAATAGTTGTAAAATAGATCAAGAATTTGGTTAATTATTTTGAACTGGAATGTTAAAAGTGTATATAAAATGATTGATTTGATAATAGTTGTAAAATAGATCAAGAATTTGGTTAAT